GAGGGCCTCTACAGCATCGCAAGTCAGCCAAGACACCACGCCAACGTTGCCAAGTCCAAACTCACCGTGAGCGAACTCCATAAGGCCCTAGGCCATGTATCCCAAGCCGCAGTGATGGACACTGTGAAGAAGGGGATGATTGAGGGCGTCCAGCTCGATACGAGCTCCAGCGCAGAATTCTGCGAGGCCTGCGTTAAGGCGAAGTCAGCACGCAAACTGTTTCCCGACGAGTCCAAGAACCGAGCGCTTACCTATGGCGAACTCGTACACTCTGACCTATGGGGGCCAGCCCAGACAGAGAGCATTGGGGGCTGCAGCTACTATGTGAGCTTCACCGATGACTACAGCCGTCAGTCCAAGCTGTACTTCCTCAAGGCGAAGTCTGAGGCGTTGTCGGCCTTCAAGACGTACGAGGCATGGGTGGCACGACAGGTGCCGAACACCCGCATACGCAAGCTGCGATCAGATAGAGGTGGGGAGTACCTGGGAGACGAGTTCAATAAGTACCTGGACCAGCAAGGTATCCAGCGCCAACTCACAGTCCACCACTCACCTCAGCAAAACAGAGTCGCTGAACGACTCAATCGCACGCTGGTGGAGCGCGCACGTGCCATGCTCCTGGGACAGGACTTGCCGAAATTCCTATGGGCGGAGGCGGTGAACTACGCCACCTGGCTGAAGAACCGGTTGCCATCAAGGGCGATCCCAGTTACCACGCCATATGAGCTGGTCAACAAGACCAAGCCCAACTTGGCCCATGCTCACGAGTTTGGGGCGACCGTATACGTGCGGTTGGAAGACACTGGGAAGCTGGAGGCCAGAGCAGAGGAGGCGAAGTTTGTGGGGGTGGATGAGCTGAGCAAGGGGTATAGGGTGTACTGGCCATTGAAACGGCGTATATCTGTGGAGCGGAATGTCAGTTTTGCACCTGCCACGGTCATTGTGGCAGATGTGTTGGACGAGGGGGAGTCAATGGCTAACTCACCAGCAACATCCGTCCAGAACAATCTGCCACCTCTCCCTAACCCAACCGAACGGGTTACACCTCATAGCCCAACCGAACGGGTAACACTTCATATCCCACAGCAACCCACAGAACCTCCACCAGACGAACCCAGATCCACCAGAACACGCCCTCCACCTGGATTCTACAGGACTCTCAACCAGGGAGAGAGAGCCACCATAGCGGTAACACGCCTGCAAGCAGAAGAGTTAGACCTGCTGGACGAAGACGCACCTTACCTGGCTATGGCAGCAGTCCAACTGGAGCCAATGTTGCAGCAAGCGTTGAATGGACCAGATGGCGTTGAGTGGCAGGAAGCGGTGGATTACGAGATTAGTCAGCTGGAGAAACTTGGCACATGGGAAATCGCTGACGCACTGCCACGTGCTAACATAATCCCTTGTCACTGTGTTCTAGCGACCAAGCGTGGCCCCAATGGAGAGAAGCTTAAGCTTCGTGCCCGCCTCGTGGCCAACGGCCAACGTCAGCAATATGGCGTCAACTATTTCGACACGTTCGCACCCACCTCCAACATGACGACCATCTGAACGGTCCTAGCGATGGCAGCTCAGCGCAACTGGGAGATCCACCAGGTGGATATCAAAAGTGCGTACCTCTATGCTGAAGTCCAGGAGGAGATTTACATGAGGGCGCCGCCTGGATACTTGAAGGAGGGGCAGGAAGGAAAGGTGTTGAGGCTGAGGAGAAGTTTGCCGGGGCTGAAGCAGGCCGGTTATGAGTGGGCTGAGGAGTTGGCTGGAGTTTTCCTGAAGATAGGATTTGTGCGTTTGCAGGTGGACCAGGCGGTTTACTTCAAGTGGACCCAGGACGAGCACACCGTCATCACGGTCTCCATGGACGACATGGCTGTCACCTCCAATCACACCTCCCACATCCACGACTTCAAATCTCAGATTCGCCGACACTTCGAGATCTCTGACCTCGGCAAGCTCAACTGGTTGCTCAGGCTGAAGGTGACACGCAATCGTGCCGCACGCACTATCACGCTCTCCCAGAGGGCGTATGTCGACACCATCCTGGAGCGGTTCCACCTTACTGATGCAAAATCTGCTCAGACGCCCATGGAAGCTGGTACCACCTTATCCGTTGACCAATGCCCCGAAATACACTTATTTACGTTACTACGCCCCATACCATAAAGTAGCCAGCCCTCGCGTGTACCCATCTCAGTCTTTTCTACCTGACTGAGATGTGAGTACCGCTGTTTTACGTTCGCGCATCTTTACTTAACGATTTCCATAGTCATTCTGTCTACTAGGTACATTGGCTTGCAATAGAGTCTTTTCTACCTGACTGAGATTCATTCTGTCTACTAGGGTCTAATCACATAAACAGAACCCTATCAAGGCTGCCATTCAAGTGAGTTTTACTATCATAGTTATGACAAATATCTAAAGTGTTTCTTCTTTAGCACATTCAAATTGCCATTCAGGAAACCTAGATATCAAAACCACTTTAATTACAGTGTATTCCACTACTTAATACTACTGCTAGCTTTAAAATAAGCTATGCCTTCACCTATAATTCAATTCACGGTCTCTTTTCTATTTTCCAATGGACTCTTATCTTTCGTAGTATTACTTGTATTTCCCTCCTTCACATTTTCATTGATTCCAATTGCACCATTCACACACTGTCCAGATTACCTAAGCATAGTAGAACTTTTTCTGTCATCTGCTGCCTTGTACTCTCTAGCAGATTAACACCAGTGATTGGCATCCTACTCGTTCTCTTAGCCCTCATCTCATCCCTCAACTTGTTGGCACTCTCTATCCTCATCCTAGTTGTGATGTTGTCCATCACAATTTGAATCCGCCTACCACAATCTGTCTAGTTGAGATCTTGCGTGCTCGTTACTGCCACTTATGTGGTAATGTACACATCAACTTGAAAGTTTCTTTCCCCTTGCCACAACTACGGAGGAGTCTTTGCTGTCTAATCCAACAGGTCTCTATATGCCCTCATGGGATAACAACCATATGTTGATGCAAACATTCATGCAAATGAGTAATTTTATCTCCACTACTGATGATGCTCAATGTGCAACCAGCAGAGCCTTGGAAGCTCACATCCAAGGTTGAAGCCCTCAGTATGAACGATGTAGGAACAAGTTCCTGGTTAGGCTTACTTTACCCCTATTTACCTTGCTTGTGTTGGCACTTGGATAGCTTACATAATCATGTTGGTCTTTACACTTACTATCACCTGGAGTGACTTTGCAATGCAGTTTCCCTTACTCTCTCTCCCTCTCTGAGCTCTGAGCGTGGTCCAGAAACCCTGGGTCTTACACTGTCAACACTCTGACATAGCAGCTAGGCAGACAGACCCAACACATCAGATTCACTCAATCTGAATTGTTGTACCCACAACGAGCTCTTTTCCACACACCCTGCATCATCTAGCAGTTTGTCTAGTGGCACTGTCTGAGTCCACGAACCACGTGTATTCAACATCAAAGCTGCTGAGGTTGAAGCATTCATCTGTAGTGTTGTTCCCTTATTACTGACTATGGTAGTTCTATTTATTTGTCTGCTTATCATAATGGCCACTCATCTCCTCAACAACTTTGATTTGTTGATTGGGAATTTTCGTGCTCACTTTGGAGATAGCGACTTAGAAGCTTTCGCCTACTGGAAGATTGTGTCCCTGAAGCAAACTGGCTCTATTGCTAACTATGCTTCTTGTTTCAGAGAACTATTAGTTCATTTGGATTGGTCAGAGTCCTCAAAGATCACCGCCTTCAAGCACGGTCTTAAGGACCATGTCAAGACACTTCTCATCACTGTTCGTAAAAAGCCACAGGAGAGTTCGTCAAGATCTGTGTCGAAATCAACAATGACTGCCACCAGTATGAGCTCGAGACCAAAGAACTCCAGAAACACTCCAGCCAAATGTGAAGCCCTTGCTGAGTATATTGCCACCAATCTCAAATGTGGTCACATGTGTGGTTTAACCTCTTCAGCTGCTGCCCCTGTCCTGTTCATTCACAAGAAGACTGGCGAACTCCATCTTTGTGTCGACTTTTGTGGGCTAAATGCTATTACAAAGAAAAATAGGAATCCACTACCACTCATCAATAACCTCCTTGATTGTGTTCAGGGTTGCAAGGTCTTTTTGATCATATACCTGAAGTCTGCATATAGCCACATCCACATCAAGAAGAATAATGAGTGGAAAACTGCTTTTCATACCCCTATGGACTTTTCAAACACCTTGTCACTCCTTATGGACTTGCTAATGCCCCTGCTGCCTTAGAGATGTTGATGAGCATAGTACTCATGACTTGTCTCCAATATCTGATCCCTATCCCTCACCCGAGATAACACAGTGTGATGTTTGATTAGAAACTGGGAAAACTGATGGGTATCCATGATGAGCTGTCCTGGACAAAAATGTAGAAAAAATATGTGTGCGGTTTGCTGCTGCTGCAGGATAGATAACCCCCAGTATGACCAACAGAAGTTTTGATGCAGTGTAACAAACATCCTGGTGCTAGCCTCACAATTGGCTACCTTGATGGTTTTTGACACTAGTGCACTTCCCAAATGACTGTCCTTGCTAGATAATCATGCTTCATTGACTCCAGGTTGAGATAAACTGATAAATGGCATTTTTTAGAACCGGTGTGGGTTTAGCGCCATAATATGATGTACTGTATCTGGAAATATAAACGAAAACTTGAATATGAAGTTGTAATACATCACTATCTAACATCTTAGATGAGCGCATGTAAAATTGACCTGCTTGACGCAATCATGCGAAATGTGCCCTTCCTTCTTACAATCTATACCATTTATTTCAATTGTACATAGAAAATGGGACTTTTATCTTATAAAGATACATATGATGTAGTGTTACATTATAGGTCACAATGTTGATCTACAGAAGTACAATATCACAAGAGTTGTTGCATCATTTCTCCTGCCTCTTTCCTTGCCTTCAATGCTTCCAATGACTCACAGAAATAAGGAAAATGTCAATGCAAGGATCCTTCCTGAGTCAGATTATTGTGCGCCATGCCATGCACATAGTCTTTAATGACTCCTGCATATTCAGCCGGGTAGTACAGTCTCAGTGTGGCTTGATACTCCTCCAAGGAGTGGTGTCGCAAATATTCAGTAAGTTGCCTTAGAGCCTCCTTCACGACATCACCCTGAGGTACATGTGTTGTTGTTAGAGGAATTGAGGGAAGGTGTGCCAAATGGGGAGGTGGTAATAGGAGGTGGTGTGGAAGACGGAGACGGTGGTAGAGATATACCCATATCATGGTTGGGAGAGCCATTGTTTGGCCCAGTGGCAGGTTCAACACCATCTGTCTGACTGTTTGATCTGTCCCCAGCGAAGATATCTGCTGTACTCCATCAGGAGAGGACCCAGAATCATGTAGGACGTCACCTAGGTTCATGCGAGCATCATCACTAGATGGCCCTAAGTACAGTTTGATTAGTGGTTGGACCGGCTGCAAGAGACCACTCACCAGAACTTGCTTGTTGTTGCCCTCCAAGGCCATTGTCTACTGTGTCATGTTTTACACCATGATCCTGGGGCTGATTGTCTACATCAGCCAGGTCATGCCCTGCATTCTGCACATTTTCGTTTTCTGTAGACATTCATCAGGTGAAATTGAGAAATAGAGAAATGCCTGAAATAAACAGCCACTAACCACTAATCCGCCTTTTGATTCTGGACAAGACATTTGCGACACTCTTGCCCGCCACAATCTTCCCAGACTTTCTGATTTTTCTTCCCTGATGCCAATCTGGTCAGAGATCGCTATAGGACACCATCTAAAGCATCCCAGGGTAAATCTGTCTGCAAGTTCTGACAGCAAATATAACCTTCTAGAACCAGACAGGCCTCTAGTGTGTTAAACAGATTTGTGGGCACTAGAAGAAAAAGATTGATGGTCAATAAGAATCAATGAATACAATGCAATCACATCATACCTGGATGTTCCAATAACTTGTATGTTATGACGTTACCAGCATCTAAGTGGTTGTTAATGAAGTTGTCGACAAATTCTGTCGACATCATTTCTCCCATCCACAGTTGATTTCCAATGTTAAGAATCCAAGGCCAGTTGGGCTCCGGAATAACAATACTGACCAGGGATTTCAGGACTTGCATGAACTGGTGAAATTTGGTGCATCACTGTTCCTACTTGAGGCAGTACATCAACAAGTCAATCAGTTGTTGCTGGAAGTAATTGCCTGCCGTATAAGAAGATGTTAGCAGAGAGATGCAGATGTCACAATGATCGCACCTTGTGTGAGCCAGTCCCACTGTGACTAGCTCCAGGAATAAGGAGCAGGTTTGTGTCTCTAGTGCCACCTCAATAGTAACCTCGCTCAATTGTTGAATTGGGCCTGGTAGTAGTTGTCAGGCTTGTTCAACAAAGCATAGGCCTGCTTTTTCAAAGTTTTTTTGAACACCTTATCCAGTCCCTTGACCCAAGGTCTTCATCTTCATCTGAACTCTCGGTCTCACAAATGAGTTTCTTGAGGCCATGAACTTTACCTTTCTTGATGAGTGGTTGTACAGCCATCTCAGATTTGCCCATTTTGTGACATAGCAAATCTTAAACTAAGTCCCAGATCAACAATGTTACAATAACATGGCCCCCCTATCTTTTTCTGACCCTTTCACCTCTTCACCTCGTCACAACATCACACTATCACCTCTTCACGATTCACCATAATGCTTGACGCACTTCCAGATCCCCGCCGACCCTGACCTTCGAAGCTAGACACTTTCCTTGAACCCTTGATCCATGGCCCCGTGGCCTGTATGACCTTTGTATGATTAGCAGACCTGCCATGAACACTGTAGTCATTCCCTATATATAGTCAATCCATTTGTACTACTATTCCTTAACTTGATTCTACTGGGTTTTATCTTAACTTGTATATTCTCTTGAGTTGACTCTCTTGAGTCTGATCATGAACCCCCTATACTCTTGGATCACTATCCTTGATTTGATACCTTTTTTCTCTTAGACTGTTTGTCTTTGAGTTGATACCGATCCCTTGTCTAGACTTAACCTTTGAATACGAAACCCTTCTTCGGCTCTCGCCTTAGAAGCTTACCTCCCTTCCTGTTCTGTCATAACCTGATGGCTTAGGCTAACAGGTATATTGATGTTCATCGATACATGACTCATAACTTAGGACTGTCGTCCTTTGTTTACCCATCCTAGTCCGAAGTCCGACTACAACCGTTGTCGTAACAAACAATACAAGTTGAGCGGCAACATCATTGAACATACCTCTTGTTCTGCACAAGCAATCACTTCCTCTTGCAGGTCTTCCAGCCAGTATTTCTTAAAGTATGCCATCTTACCCATCAGATTGAGTACTACACAGAGATATTAGAAATGTGTGGCGCTGCACGAACAGAACAAGACATTCACATAGCCATGATGTATGCTGCTGAGTCAGTTGTCTTTTCGTAGTACTAGGCGATCTTTTGCATGGCAGCATGGAGTGTGGGAGAAAAGCCAGCATACTTAGGTCGGTTGGCACAATTTGACCACACTCGATGAAGGGTCTCAAGGGCCGGAATAGCCAAATGTAGTGTGGTCCCTTTGTCCGATGAGAAAGCCTGTTGAGCTACATCTGCGTACTGAAGAAACAAATTAAAGGGAACTTTGTGAATATGAAACAGAACATACTGAGAGTAGATCCGCGAATTTACCAGTGCGTGCCCATTCAGCGGAGGTCAAACAGAGGTAGTTGATTTTGGCCCGTTTTGCCAGATTATGTTCTTGCACACCCATCTCGTAAACATAAACATCAACATGCTAGGGCCAAGATCAAATAATGGCCATACTTTGTGAATATTAGACTCACCTCCTTACTGCTTTCTGCGCGATTGATCATTACATATGTTGAAGACCAGCGGACTTTAATATCAAGAAAGAGCTGGTTCAGATGAAGACAAAGACCTTGGTTTCGGCACATTGGCAGCAAATGTTGATCCTCCTAGGCCCTGGTACACTGATTTCAGACTTTATTTTGACACTGTGGAGGCAAAACTGCCTTCTGGAATAGATGTAGAAATGAGGGGATATGAGCCTGTAGAGAGATTACTCTCTACACCGCTATTTACCCTAGTTGTTCCTTATTCTTGGCTTAAATAAAAGAACTTGAATGAATTTTTGCAATTGTGATGATATAAGCATAGTTGTTTGATCCCCTTGATGTCCTCAATTTCCAATATGAAACTCATTGGTGTGTTGATATTTTGGGATCTAATGAATATATCTTGACCAATTTTGGTTTGTGTGATTTGCAGGGTGGTACTGATCATGTTGTGAAGCTTGTCATTGGGAGCACTGTCCGTTTTGGATTCCACATTCAGAATAAGGCTATGAAGCTGGTTTTTGCGACCTCTTTGTACCCTCATGCTGATGTTACTGAGAGCTTGATGTGTCTCAAAACAGTTGGGTCTGTGATTGGCGCATATAAATTTGACACAGCGGTGGGATCTGGTACAACAGCTAGCGGTATCTCTGGTGTGGGTGGAAGTCTGGCATTATATTGTCATCTCCCAGTGTTGAAGACATGCATTTAAGTCTGTACATCATAGGTAAGTACTCAATCACAAACACACTCGAGGGATGACTTACTCAGATGACACCCTGGATTCTCTCCCTATGGATGTTCTTCCCTGGGTGGAGGGGTGCAAGAGTGACAAGCTGTGCAGCCCCCTATGGGGCCAAAGGGCCATTTTGAACAGAATCCAACTATGACAGCAGCCATGATGATCCACTCTGAAGGAGTGTGAATGCACCTGCATATGCCTCCAACACTGCTCTATCCTTGTTCTACTCAGTGTAGTACCAATCAGGTGGGTGCTGTTGGTTGGGGCTGCCTATAGTTCTCGGGTACTGGCACATGATATTGTGGAGGCAGGGGTTGCTGATGGTGCTGCAGTTGATATTGAGGTGCTGGCACTTGATATCACCTCTGGCTGTAAGATTAGACCTAGTATTTTGGCAACTGTCAGTTTGCTCTTTTGACCTCATTGCATGGCACTTGCCAGGTCCATATCATTCCCACTAACTCAAACCTCTGGCCTATTTTGAGCTGATCCTTGTCACAAAAGCAAGTATATATACTATGATAATGATATTTGAACCAATTGTATTATTTATGCAAGAATAAGATACTGAAAAATATCAAAAATATCAAAAATGTTAAAAATGTGATTTTCTATGTTTTTGTTCCTGTAGCAGAATCCTATGTGTGTCCTGGGCCAGCTATATGATAGACCTATTCCAAATATACATAGAAATAGACCCCCTACCTCAATTGAGGTTCTCTCCTATAGGAAAAATGTTCCCGGGCAAACCACCAGAGGGGGGAGGCACACCATGCAGCAATAGATCGTCCTATGGTCCTGGGCTCCTGATACATTGTTCCTATTTGTAAATAGATGCTGGTTTTCATTTTTACAAGTCTGTTCACTGAGAAATAATTAAATGGAAACATATTCTGTGTTTTCTTGTGTATGTGCCATATCTATTGATGTAGGGCACTTCAGGAGGTGAAATAAAGATGAGAATCTACTTATATATGCTCACAAACATATTCTGAATATAGTAGAACACTTACCCACCAAAGGGGCAAAAATGCGAAAATGTTTTATACCCTACCCCATATTAAATTGCCCCTGAAGGTGGCTGCTCCAGTAGTTAAGATGACATATCTGAGACTCTGTAGGGGTGAGTTGCCAAGGAATACCCCAAATCTGAAGTACCAAATGAATCTAATAACAATGTGTTTGATGAACACATGGTCAAAATGACTGTCAATGTGTAGATTACCACTCTAGTTAAATATTAGATATTTCACTGGACCAAAAACTGATGTATATGCCGCATCAAAGTGATGAGAGAGGATTGAGAATTGGTGGGTGTGATGGCAATATATACCCAATGTTTCACCAGTGTTTATCCCTGTGCATGTCTTGGATAGTATAGGTTGTATGTGTGAGGCACGCCGCTGCGTGAAATGTTGATGATTTTTCTGTGTGTGTTTGTCAGTGCTCTGGAAATAGAACAATGCTAGACCTTATTAACAATTGAGTTGAATGAAACCATTAGGCTTATTAGTAGGATACTGCAAATTCATCAAATAAAAAGGCTCACAAGTTCACCAGGAAAATTGCAGAACTGCATCTATAACTGCTGCCTTGATAAGGCTTTTCATATTGGCTGATGTTTGCGACATTATGTTTCTTGTGAAAAGTAAACCAATGATATTGCACTTTGCGGTGCACACGATTCAGATTCATTCACAATTTTCTTTTGTTATCATAATGGTTTGAGCCTGTAATGATGATGACCCCATCACAGAAGCATAGGATGCATTTCAGTGGCAACGGGGCTTTGTGTATTGGTACTAGTATTCAATGAAAGGAAGATATAGTTACATGTACTACATTGTATGGAGGAATCTTGCCTCTGTGTATTGTTGTCATGTATGTTGGCTTGTAGGCCGGTATCAGATGTACCCCACCATCCGAGGCATTCCTAGTCCATCATGGCAAGGGAGGGCCAGTATGTACATATAGGTTTGAGCCTGAAGCATCTGCCAGTGTCTGTCCATCTGGATTTAAAGATGATGGCACTAGATATCTTATTAGTGTAAGGGAACCTGCACCCACTGTATGGTGCAACTCACCAGTTGGACCATACAGCGTGTCAAGGTCAAAATTCTTGTCCTTGCAGCCATAGAACTGTGGCACTGAATTGGCTTGAGCGTCAACCAGTGTCTGTCCATCTGGGTTTGAAGATGACAACACTATATCTCATTGGCATTAAGGCACCAGTGCCAACTGTGTGATGCGATGTGGGTGAGGAAATAGGAATGTGAACTCTGGGAGTCACAAAGAAATAACCTTGAGAGGTGAGCTAAGTAGAATCATTCCAAATGGATGCTACTGAGATAAATCTCTCTAAATAATGAGAAGATCTAAAGCTGGTGATAAGCTGAGACTGTGCAAAGATGTGTGGAGATGCACATATGTAGATGTGACAGGCTTGCTAGATGCATGAGATATGTGATGTGAAGCGGCTAATGTGCAATATGTGTGAAGTAGAAAGCCGACAGCGGCAAATCATAGGAGTTCTTAGGAATGCAGTGGATAAGTCTTAATAGGACTAGACAGATGATAGACAGCAGCAGTGGTGATATTAGCGCTCTATGCGCAACTCAGTGGAAAACAGATGGATACTACAAGTACAAGAAAGTAAGTAAGTAAAATAATCCTAGGTCCTCTAGATATGTATGTGTTATAGTAACATGGCCCCTATCTTTTTCTGACCCTTTCCACTTCGTCACAACATCACACCATCACTTCTTCATAACTCACCATCATGCTTAATGCATGCTTCCTGATCCCTGCCGACCCTGATCTTCTGTGACAGAAGCTAGACACTTCTTTGGACCCTTGATCTTCTGCCTCATGTCCTGTGCTTCTATTTCCCTTGATCTTCTCGTGAACCCTTATCCCTGACCTCATGGTCATATACCCTTGACCCTGCCTTCCTGATATATCTATCTTTAGTTCCCTGACCTGCCCTGAACACTGTTCCCATTTCCCTATATATAGTTGACCCCATTGTACTGTATTTCCTTGACTTAAATCTACTGGGTTTTACCTGAATGATCACCTGCTCTCTTAAGCCTAATTATGAACTGCTATACTCTTGGATCACTATCCTTGAGTCAATACTTCTTTGATTCTCTCAGACTGTTTATCTTAGAGCCGATACCGATCTCTCGCCTAGACTTTCTAAGTCGACAGCGAAACCCTTCTTTGGCTCTCGCCTTAGAAGCTTACCTATCCTTCTGTCATATCTCGATGGCTTAGGCTACCAGGTATATTGACATTCTGATCTTTGATTGATAACTTAAAGGATGTGCACTCTTCATTAACCATCCCAATTTGAACATGACTTCTGTCGTAACAGTATGTAGCTATGTGTGCTCTCAGGATGCAGAAGTGTGAGGGAAGCGGATAGGCAGCACGGAAGCGCAAAGGAAGCAGATATGTATGTAAACTTATGTGTAACAGACCTTGGATGTAGTCAGTGACAGTGATAACAGTGAGAATATGCACCAACAGAACTGGACAGACAAGACATGACATGAGAGGATATGCCGAGTAAAGTGCCAATATACAAATATGGTGTGCAAGCGGCGCGTGTGGTGCGGATAACTGCTGATGGTTGTGTGTATAACCTGCGGATAGGGATGAGGTCAATGTAGGAATACCATGATATGAGCCTGTAGAGAGGTGACTCTCTACAGTGACTCACCAGTCGGACCATACAAAGCATCAAGGTCAAAAGTCCCGTCCTCACAGGTATGGAACTGTGGTGATGAATTGGCTTGAGTTATTCCTTAATTTATTAGTGTCAAGAGTCTGCCAGCCTTCAAGATTCGCTCACCTAAGTACATCCCCTGTCAATCCTCCATTCCCTCATACAGATCAAACATATGATCAGGTATCTGTAGTCATTCCGAAGGAATATTGAGCTAATTGTTGACCAGTAGTTCCAATAGATTGAGTCCTGATCCTCAAGGTGGGTTGAGACAGTGGCCTTACATTTGTACTTCATATTGACACCATGTGCAGTACTGTGCATTCAAAAATCAGTGACAATTATAGTGGGCAGAAGGAAATGATTATAGTGAGCAGAAGGATTTCATTTCTGGTATTATAATTGGTGCTAACTTTCAAATTGTGCCGTGTAGATAGCACATTTTAGCAATTCACACGACTTGTACTGCATGTGCCATAGGGAAGGAAATGTAATCATCAACAGCAATTCCACTGGCTACAAGTTTAATGCTGGAGGAATCCAGGTATTTTGTCAAGAGCAGAATATTGTGTTGTGAGCTCTGATGCGGGGGTGAGTTGTTTGATTTACATTTGATGATGGAGGCCTCCTGCAATGCCGGGATGAGCCTCTGCTGCTTGTTGGGTGGCTTGTGTGTCATCAATGCCCTCAAGGCCAGGTGCCTCAATAGAGATTTTGTCCTCGAAATGATCGAACACAAGCATGATTGTGGAATGGTGATTGCGATGGTAAGGATAGATTGGTGTGACTCATTCAAACTCATTGGTGATTACATCATTGTTCAACCTCAAGCATAACCAGCATCTATTGATCAACGCCACCCACCAAATCCATATGAATTCCAGCATGTGATGTACACTTATACACCTTAAATCAGGATTCCTGATAAATGTGTACATGTGGTCTGACTCATCGTCCACCCAGTTCACCTGTATCAGCAGACTGGCTTGGCATTACAGACACTTCCTTCTGGAGCTCAGTCCTTGGAACAAGCAATCATATCTTCTGTCTTGCTCTGCACTTACCTGTCCATGGTGCTCACATTGTTTTCTGATGAGGTCAAGGCCGATGTGTTCAAGTCTCTCACCGAGTGGCAGTCCATGCACCTCAACAACTTCCTTGCCCTCTTGTTGAACAGCAGTGTGTTTACAGCATCTAAACAAGCTGTCACCCTGACGTTGATGAAGTGTGGAGGCGATATTCTTATTCCTGTACCAGTGAGTGCTTTGGTTGATTTGTAGTGGGTCCGTAAACTAACGGAACCCACAAAACAACCCGTGCCAGGCTTACAACAAGTAGAAGCGGCCCTGCGCCACTTGGTTAGACAAGAGGACTGGAAACCTCTGTATATTATGTGTCTACTGTACGACAAAGAGGCTCAGGTGTGTCTCTGTTAAGACCGAGTTCAACATGCCGGACCGGAGGGGCTTAGCTTCAGCTCATGCGCTGTGCTCTTTACCCAAGTACGTGCCCCTAATTTACGGGGGTAGATATCGTCGGCCGAGGGGTATGGATGGGCCAGGTGAAAGAGGGAAGACTACCCGAAGGTAGAGGCGGAGGGGTTTTAGCCTTGGGGATATAATCCCGAGGCTCGGAGGGTCAGACTAGGATGACAATCCTAAGAGCCAAGAGAACATGAGGAATGAACTGAGTCTAAGATGATATTCAAACTGAGGAAATACTACGGGTTACAAAAGGTTTATATACTGTAGTGTATCCAACGGGTATCCGGCCGAAGCGCAGTCTTTGGATCATAGGGCTATGTAGGAAATGTACTAACGGACATGAACTGCTGCGGATGATCGAGAATGGAGCCGGATATTAAATGAAACAAAGGGAACGAGTTAAATGAAAAGGAAATGAATAGACTAATGGAAGGATCAGAATGAACCCGGACATTAACTGTCAGAATGAGCAGGCAGAGCTCCTAATGTTCAACCTGTAGCTACTATCCTACCACCAAACAGCAAAATGAGTACATGGATGATGCAGGGCTCATTTAGCCAACTTCATGTCCTACTGGATGTCAATGATTGTACACAATGTCACAGCAATTTGTGTAGGTATTGATTAGATTTGTAGTGTGTAAACACCTATCTAGAAGGCATTGTAGGACAAGCAGTTGTGGCTTGATCTAGATAATATTCTATCAGACAGTCATGGATTAGAGCCTAAGTGTCTGAAAGTGTCTAACTAAGTGGAGCAATGTGAGGTGCTCATATTGGTGTCTGGAATGAGCAAACATCCAGTGGTACTAACTGAAGAACAAGAACAAACTATTTCAAAATTTTATTTAACGACATCACATGGCTTTCGGATCAACAATGTTCAACATCAGCAGGCAATTTCAATCATAAACTCCACATCATGCAGTCCAGTTACACCCCACATTTCACCATAATTCTATTCAACAACATATGAGCCTTGTTGTGAGATTATAACATGTACTTGAGCATTTCAACTTGGCTCTCTGCATGATCTATACAACAACATTTTGGCATAAGGCAGTTGTTGAGTGATTTAATGTGTTGGCTCACACGGAACCGACATTTTGAGTGCAAAACTGGGCTGTTTGCCTTGCAGCATTCCAAGTCGCCTGGATGTTGTCAGTATGTTGGAAGTGCTAAAATTGTAACCACTACGTACAATAGCTGAGTTGCTGACGACCAAGGGCCCAGGTATCAGTAGGTGTTCAAGTAGTCCTAACTATATTAATATCAAGATCAGATAAGACTCTAGTGCAATTCCTAACTTTTAGATTTACTTACAGGTTGAGCTGGAGGCATGAAGTTGAGTTGATTGTTCTCTTGAGCACCGACTTGAGCGTTTTGCTCTATGGAGGTGTAGTGGTTGAGTAGATTATCTGTCGGTGTTTTCATATTAGTAGCACGTCTCGAGACACGCGAAATTATTGCCTTTTTGGGTTTATCACACTTGGAGAGTTTGCAAAGTGTTGCTCTAATTAAATTGTACATATGATAAGAGCCAAGTCTCATTACAATTTTTAATAAAGACAGAGGTCAGTGATAACAGTACATCGAAGCAGCAGTATTATGAGGTTATTGAGCACTGGGTTTAAGGAGAGGATTTGCATGAAATATCTTAACAATTTCTTTTTTTGGGCCTGTGTACTTTGCTTTCATACCTCTTCCTCCCTTATCAGACTCACTTGACACTTCTATTACATTTTTTCCTTCAATTTCACTCCCAATATCACCTTCATCCCACTAGGAGTTGTCAAGTGCAATCATCTCTGACTTCCTCATAATGGCATCTCAGTCTGATGAGCAAGTTCCACATATTCAGGCAGCTCACCATCTCCCATGGGTTTCTCCATATGACAAATCTATTAAGCAAGCATCAATGACCAGTGAATATATCACAATAAAAAAGAATACACTATATCATACTTCACTTGAATGACCTGAGATAACCGCTCCATCACATGATTTTGTCAAGTCTCCTGTGAAATATCTCTCTTCCTGTAAAAAAGACAAGTATTTGTTATGTATATGTGAAGCTTGGCTCAGTAATCAGTGAATAATTTGCTTATATAGACAACCTCTGGTGGGCTTTACCATAATTTGAAATTGCTTTGTTAAAATCTTACTTCAAGGCAACTTATTGGCCTCTGCACTCTCACTATGTCTTGCCTGATCTCACTCTCAGTTGGTGGAATAGGTTTAGAGTGGAAGTCTGTCTTAGTCTTACTTCAAGACACTATGTTTGCTTGTACTGTTACTATGTCGTGCCTGATCACTCTCAAATAATATGATAGGTTTAAAGTGGGAAGTTATATTTTATAAATGTCAAATAGGCTTCTTCTATACCTTTTTGGAAGCCAGATTATTAAGCATGATTCATCACATGAATTGGTAAGAATGTGCTTAAAAATCATACCATTTGGTGTGCTGAGTCAGCTTGTTTACTAAGTAGTTTACAAATACAGTGTAATCATACAAAGCATGATAATGAGTCAGGCTAAATCCTTACAAATCAGATTATTTCCCAGTCACATAACATGCTGATAAACATGCTCTGTTAGCTAGTGAGAAAGTCTGATAGCTGAATAAGCCAAGAAAAATACAAAAAGCAAAGAAGGTCACATCTTGGCATGCATCTAGATGATACATTCAATGTTGCGCTGTACATACATATAAGTTTTCAATGATAAATATTTTGGTGTCATTAGTTCACTGTTGACCTCAATGATGTTCCATCTATAACATCCATGAAGCAGGATCAATGACTAAAAGTAACAATGAGAATCAAACTTCTATTAAACTACACAGAACTGACATATAGAGACCGCATAAGCATTGGTGGTGCCCATCTGATCATCATATTTACCCGCCCACAGCAAGCCTATGCTAATCAGAGGCGCAAAGTACAGAAAGTGGTTCGCCATGTGATTTCATCCCTCAATTAATCTTTCAAAGGTTGGAACTGTGCCACTCAGTGTCGGAGTGCTTTCACTTGACATTGCTTGTTGAGCAGTATGTGGTACCTTATATCAAACAGTGAGACAGGTCATAGATTTAAAATACATTAGCATTGACCTCCACAATTACTTCGAGATCCTGCAGAAAGTACCATTCCATCAGAGTCAATTTCTTATCAGTGATCATGTGTTGATTTGGGTTCTGAAATGACATATCCACAGCCTAGGCTACCATTAGCCTGTGATAGATGTTAGTGGGTGGAGGCTTACCTGGTGAAGGGTTCATAAGCAGTTCAGTATGACATAGACCAAGTCCCAATGTATTGGCTCATCATGGAGGAGTTACATGATAGGCAGCTGGGTGGGAGAACTTGTGTGGTCTATGAACAATTTATCCCCATTACCTGTTGAGGGTGAGGAAATAGGAATGCGAACTCTGGGGAGTCACAAGGTCAAAAAGTGTCCCAATGTTTGCCCACTTTCATGGATTTGCATTATAGCAAGTCAGGGTGTGGGAATATGATGGAGTACTGTGTCCCTTAGGGGATGCTACTGAGGCAAATCTCTCTAAACATGAGAAGAATCAAGGACCAGTGCTAAGCCGAAGATATGCAAAGGTGCGCGAAGATGCGTGGAAGTATAGGTGGATGCATGCGCGTGATGTGTGATGTGCAAACAACTTCTCCACTGGGTGTAGAGAATATGTTGGGTCTTGCTGGCCTAGCTAGTTCGACCCTAAAGGGACTCTGCTCTAGGCTCAGTGCTCACAGAGAAAAAGATATCAAGACAGCAAGACAAAAAGATTCATTGGATTATGTCAGCAATAAGAGTACCAACATAAAGTAAGTAAAACAGCAATTGTGAGGCCAGGGACAGAATGTTCTGCACAGCAAGATATGTGGAAGAGGTGGCTAGTGCGTGATATGCACAAAGTAGAAAGTCAGTGGTGGCAAATGATAAGAATCCTTCAAAGATGATAGAAAAGTCTCACTAGGACTAGAAAGATGATAGACAGATGTGGTGATGATATTAGTGCTTATGCATACAAACTCAGCAGAAAACAAATACTGAGTCCAAGTAAGGGAAAGTAAGTCTCTCAAATCATATACTAAGTCTGCAAACCTTGTACACCTCTCCATCATGTCCCGGGTGGCTGAAAGGCCAATGAGGTGCCACACTTATCAATGTCAATAGAGAGTATGAGTGGCCCCAGTCAGGATTAAGAGGTGAGTCCTTTTCTGTTCTTATCAATCTGGCTGAAGTGTGACTCCTTGGAAGGGCACACTATTTGTGAAGTGCAGCTTATCATCCGCCCAATGGCCTGACAAGGTTCTCATATCACTTGGTGAAATCAATATCTATGCTATGTGTTACGATAACATGCTTTGGACCGGACCCCCTATCTTTTTCTCCCACCTTGTACTACCATATGACGTCTCCATCATCTTCTTAAATAGCATCCTTGATCACTGTCCTATCTCTTATCTCTTATCTTGTACCCTGTACCCTTATCATTGATTCAGTAGTCTTGCCCTGAAGTATCTCTTACCTATAAGTAGTCGATCCATCTGTCCTGTAGTCCTTAACTTGAATCTACTCAATATTCTGATAGACCTTCCTTGAGCAAGATCGTTCTTGTATATCTTCTTCACTTAAGACTCTTCGTCTTAGTGTCTGATACTCAATCAATATCATTAGCCTTGTTTCTACTTGATGACTCTTGTCACCAAGTACTGACACAAACGACAATACATGAACCTTCACATTATCTTTGTCTCTGCTGAAGACTTAGTACGAAGCTCTTACCTGAGTCTACGCTTTCAGTGTAACACTATGTACATAGCCTAAAGGTTGGCACAGTCCATCCTGCCGCTAAAATGCATGTATTGAAGTGTGCTAAGCATGAGGATGGTACTCCAGTAGGTAACATAGTTCCCCTCAAGCAAATGTGTACCTTTATCAGTATAATACCTGAGCTGGGAGCTGCAGCAGATGCGCAGTTGACAAAGGAGACTTCCACACATTACCACTACATTGTCATGCCAAACGGCAACCACATTCCATGCTGCCATTCAGAAGGGACAATGAAGTTCCACCTTAATTGTGTTGCTGCTAGCCAAGCTAAGGTGACTGCAATGGCCGGCTTATACTGCTGTGCCACACCAGAAATGGAGGTAGTCTTGGAGGTTGAACCCTCTATGTTCATGCACACAGTCAATGAACCTGAGTCCAAAGGGGACAAAAACAATTTGGCAGTGAGGCGGAGTGTTGAGGCCCTCACATATGTGATGCAGAAGCGAGACGAGAAGTGCACTGTCTTCTTACCAGTTCATATTCTGGTAGCTCCCCTTCTAGGGTTAAGTAGTAGCTTCTCTGGTTGTAGCTTCTTAGCTCACTAGTTTGCTTCTGATATCAAGTTCTAGTCTCATTTTCTGCAGTGTCATGTTTGATATCCACACACATATCCACACACACACACAAACACACACACACACTCTCCCTGCTTGAGCTCTCCCTAGTTCAGAAACCCTGGGTCTTACACTGTTTCCCCTGACATAGCAGCTAGGCAGCAAGACCCAATACTTTCTGCTCTTTAGCACATTTGTTGTACCCACACTGTGCTGCTACAAAAGCAACCATAACCAGCCGAGAGAAACAGAAGTCGAGGGTCCTGAAGGGAGGGATTATAAGTCTGATGAAGGAGAATAGTGAGATCATGAGCTGGGTGCGTGATTTTTTGAAAACTGAATGAGATAGCTGATGGTTGATTACTACATCAGTGCTTCTGTCATAGCCAGTCAAATGCCAAGATAAGTGAGCTTCTCAAAGGCCTCAAGACACGGTGTGAGGCACTTGATATCCCTCCACCTGAAGTATTTGTTGCCAACAACTGCTGCCATGTCTGTGTGCTGTGAATGTCATTTTCCCTGATGCTATAATGAAGCTGGATGTCTGGCATTTCATTATGAGGTGAGTACATTCTTTTGTGTCCAATCTACAACTTGAAGCTAATCCTAAGAGTAAGATATGCAACTGTGGTCCTCAATCCCTCCAAGAATCCCCACCGGAAAGAGGTAGTTGCAGATATATCTGCCTATATCCTGAAGAAACACGGTGGGGATGCAAATCCTGCACAGTACTGGGACCAAAATGAGCAGGAGACTAGACTCACCTCGACATTTGAGAAATGGGCACGCAAAGGTACAGTTTGGTCAGCGAGAGCATGCAGGCCATTTCACACCATGACTACTAACATCAATTTCAGGTTCACAAGGAACAACTCAAATATGTATGGAAAGGCTACCTCAAATGTCAGCAGCAGGACATACAAATAGATTGGATGCAGAATCTCCCAACGACAGACAAGGCGATGTGGTCTGCATTTTCAGCAGTGTTCGCACAACATTGGCCACTGCCAGTGCATGTAACACTCACCTTAGCGCAGCAAAAGGACCGTATATGAGCAATCATACTTAAGGAGGAAGACATAGGAAGGATGATTGAGAAAGATCGAGGATGAGAATGGGGGCATGTGAAATGGGTGAAGGAAATAGAAAGGACAGTGCAGGGATTTGGTGACACGAGGTGTCTTTTACTGGACGTGGTGCTGGAAAGCACTCCAGCATTCCTGAGGGACTTACTCACTGAGCAGTACACATTGTGGCCCGACTTTGTTAGCAACATAAGGCAATTGTCGACATCACAGTTACAACAAGCGAAACAATGTCTGGACACAGAACGAAAACTCAGGGAGGACGTAGATCGCCTTCAAGCACAGGCAGGAGGAGCAAAGAAAGCGTCAACACCTACCCCTCAGACAACACCCAAACCAATGCAGTACCTTGGACCCCATATCGACTGCCTCAGAGATACCCACAGATGCCCTACCAGCAGCAGCAGCAGCAACAACAGCAATAGCAGGTCGTTCGACAGGTACCCATCGCAAATCCCACCCAACCTCCACCGCAAACACCTCAGCAGCAAACACCATTCAATCTGTTCACATCACCCACACCCATGGCAAGAGGGAATTTATTCTATGGGGGACGAGGATACCCACAAACACCTACGCGAGGGAGAGGCATGTTCGCAGGGGATCACGCCTATTTGGCAGCCCAATACTCAGCATTGCCCCAACACCCTGATACAGAAGCAGGATGGCAGGCATACACGCAACAAATCCAAGAATGGCAGAGACAACATGGACCCACCGCGATGCCAAACACAAACTGGCCTTATCTACTGAAACCAGGAATGTTGCCAATGGGATCCAGGGAGTGCTTCACGTGTGGAGTGGCAACCAACCCATTGCATCAATCCCAAGAATGCACCAATGAGGCAGTACCAATGCAAGAAACTTGCTGGCGCAAGATGGTGTCAAGATTAGCAACACAAACAATAGTGTCAACATTCCCTCCACCAGCAGGTGTCCAATATGTAGCCCCGGCAAGCGCACAACCTGTCTATTACCACTTCAGTCACCCATGTAAAAGTACCTCTTAGGTACATATATTCTCTCCTAAAAACCCACCTAAGGGGTATGTTTTTACATGGGATCTCAGTGCATGATAGTTTCGAACCGGGCCATCCAAATACTATCCTCAGGAGGGCTGGGCCAGCTGGGTCAGTGTATTTGGTCTGTCCCATGACCCATCTGGGATAGTATCTCAAGCCACATTATTATTTTTAATGACCTGGGGGTGTCAGGGGTCACAAATAATATAAAGCCATAGCCTTTCGCCTGATGCTCTGATACATAGTCCATAGTCTCTGGGCTAGCCCATCTCTAGTTATATAGTCCCTAGGGCTAGCCCAGCACCCTAATAGATGTGATGCAGCATAGCCTAGCACCCTGATACAAATGATGTGGGATAGCCCACCACTGGTTTATATAGTCTCTGGGCCAGCCCAGCATCCTGATGCGGGATAGCCCACCCCTGGTTATATAGTTTCTGGGCCAGCCCAACATCCTGATACGGGATAGCCCACCCCTGGTTATATAGTTCTTGGGCCAGCCCAGCACCCTGATACATGTGACACGGGATAGCCCACCCCTAATTATATAGTTCAAATATTATTTGTATTTTTGAAATTCAGCTATTTGTCATTCCAGGCAACATATTTTATTTTGGCCTTCTCATGTTAGGCCTCTCCACACTATTCCCACACATCACATTTCCGCATTTTTCAACCCCACAGCGTGGGAATTACCCCACAACACCAAAAACATCGCCCATTTTTAGAATCTCCACAATATTAATTAATTTACACCACCTAAAATATAACCCATTTTGGTAACTCTTCAAAATATCAACCTCCTCATGTCATTCCTGTCACCACTACACCACAATCACTTATCCCTTGTATCTAAGTGGTAGTATATGTTATATATGTATAATATAACATAATAGACCGCTTTTTTGGTGTATTTCTGTCCACATGCCTCCTCTAGGTCTGTAATTGCTATGTCTGGTAACAACATGTAAAACATTTTCGCATTTTTGCCCCTGTGATGGGAGGGTGTTCTGGAAGGTGTAGAACATGTTTAGAAGTGTATATCAACTAATTACACCACTTGTTTGACCCTCTGGAGTTCCCTGGAGCTCCCAACATCAACATGTATAGCATATATGCATGAAATACAGAATTGGTTCACATTTTTGAGTTTATAGCTAGATGTAGTTGAAAATACTGTCCCCAGCATCAGTTCAACATTATGAACAATGTATCAGCAACTCATGACAGCAGGTGAAGCCCTTGTGGTGCTATGTGACTACCCTCTCCTGATGGTTCACTTCCTGAGAAAAATTTTCCTGCAGGAATGCAGCTCCAGGATAGTATGGGGACCATTCCTAAATATATTTAAGAGCATTTTAGTTAAGTTGGCACCACAGGATACCCACAGGGGCCTTGTACATAGACCAAAACCTCCAAACATGCATTTTCGCACTTTTGGTGTTTTTCACTGCTTTAGCTGTTCAGAACTTGTCCAAGCTGTTCATATATCATCATTAGTACATATTTACATGATTTATATCCCTAAGATCAGTTAGATATAGGCCAAAATATTGGCATCTGGTAGAAAGGGGCTAATTTCACTGATAAGGGGCTATAGTCTTCCACAGGTCGGCATTTGATGATCAGACACTTGGAATACATGTCTAACACACCCATAATGATAGCTCTCAATTTGTAGAATCATCCATCCAATCCCTATAGAATGGCAAGCAAAATAGTCATGTCATAGAGCGTGGGAAAGTAAAAGTGGCAAAACATCGAAAATCAACATGTCCACTGATAAGGTGCAAGAGGCTTCCACAGAAGAAATATTCATGATCAGACCCTTAGGCCTTGAACACCTAACTATACACCAGCTACCACCTTGACTTCATCACCCACCCAGAACACTTGCTCTATGTCTTCAAGGCGATGTAGGGAGTAATATCCCTACAGGCTCGTATCCCCTGATATATACATCGACCTCATCACTATCCTCATGTATGCGCAGTCCAATAGAGTCGCGCGCAACACGCGCGACCTTCCGCGCTCTTCCGCGACGCACGCAACCTTCCGCGCCCTTCCGCAGACCGGCGCTATCCTCGGCATACCCTCCCATGTCCTGTCCTGTCTATCCGGTACCGTTGGTGCGTACTCTCACTGTCATCTCCGTCTCTGACCACATCCAGGGTCTTTTACATAGTGTTACATACTTATCCGCTTCCTTGCGCGCTTCCGCGCAGCCTATCCGCTTCCCTTACGTCTCAATACCCTGAGAGCTCGCGTAGCGACCTACATATCTAGAAGACTCAGAGGATTTCGGACTTACTTACTTTTCCCTTACTTGGACTCACTATCAGTTTCCTGTCTACTCGCGCTTAGAGCGCTAATATCATTGCTGTCATTGTCTATCATCTTCTTTGTCTTGTGAAGTCTCGTTCCTCATCCAAAGAGAGCTCCTACGATCCTCTGCAACTCTTCTCCCATCGCGCACGTACCGCGCGCTTTCCGCACCCTTCCGCACGGCTCGCGCTTTCCGCGCGTTCATCACATCAGCCTCGCGCGTTCCCGCGCGCCTTCGCGCACCTTCCGACTTGAGCCTTTCTCTTGATCCCTCTCATCATTTTGAGAGATTGACTCAGTAGCATCCCCTAAGGGACGATTCTACTAGCTCGCCTCTCGAGGTAGATATTCTTGTGACTCTCCGGAGTTTGCATTCCTATTTCCTCACCCACACCGCTCAAACTCGTCACGGACCAGGGTTTCTGCGGTGTTGATCCAATCTTGCTCCCAACCGGCGGACTTGAAATAAGCCAGTTTATGACGAGGGTGCAGGACTAAAGAATAGTCAGTGTTCATAGGGATGTGGTAACTACTGAGTGGGACGGAAGAACTTACTCATGGCAATCCTGTAGACCTCTGATGTATCGGTCAGCTCATAGTATCGGTCCAAGGTCTTCTTTGCGAGTCGAACTGCCGCGCGAATTGATGGAGAATATTTCGTGTCGCGAGAATACTTGGTCATCCGGGTGTCGATTAAATCCATTGCGGGTATAACAGTTGCAAGATTAGGAGTTTAACGAGAGAAGAAGAGGGTAGCATCCTTTAGAATCTTAGATGCCGGTGAGCATGTTTGTGTTTGCTTAGTAAACAAAGTCATAACACACCTTCAAGACGTCACGAAGTTGACCGGCAATTTCCCACTCACTGTCAGCAAGCTCGAACTTTCGCAGACCCAGCTCTCTTCGCTGTGTAACAGCATCGATCGCTTTCCGATGCGAGACGGCATACTCCAACATGTCGTATGTGGAATTCCAACGAGTGGAGACATCGCGGGGCATGTTAGTTGGCGACATGGACTGATCAAGGAGGATCTTGTGCCAGGCAGGCAGGAGGAGCGTTGTGGAGTGTATGAGCTTGTACGTGAGTTTGCGCAACTGCACAACGTCGTGGTCAATTCGCAGGTGAGTTTGTATCGATTCTAATGCACCTTGAGAAGAACTAACTTAACGGGTCGAATATTTGTTCGCAGCTCTGCAGCTTGGGCCTCTGGCAACAAGGCCACCTCATTCACCCATCCCTCATTGTTGTCTTGCGGGTCATCCTCCAACTTGTTATACTGTGCGACCATCTCCCTGTCCTCCCTCTCAATGTCAGCACTGAGCTCGATAAGCCCATCATCTTCGGCGGCATTATTATCCCAGGCACGTTCAGCGTCTTTCTTCGATACGTCAAACTCGCGTATCAAGGACTTTGCGACAAGATTCACGGTGTGCAAAAAACACCGTGTGTGGCTCGCTTCTCCTGCGAACTCGGGAACCAACATTGCAAGCTTGTCGACCATGACGTTATTGTTCGATGCGTTGTCGCATGTTACGCTCAACATCTATTTATCAACGCTTCAGCATGTAAGTTTTTTCTACTATTTTAAAACATTACCTTCTCTAATATTCCTAATTCTTTTAGCATATCTGCAAAGACAGCTGCAAGCTGCTCTCCAGTGTGAGACTAGCAGTGGGTCAACACATGGACCGTTCACGATGTAAGTGATCAACATACCATGGCGACTTCAATGATGTCTAACGGAAAACTCAGGGGGATACCTTCGTACTCGAGATGTACTGCGAACGCGACGAACGCACGGTGGTTCTCCGAGGTCCACGCATCCGTAGTAAAATTCATTTTCCCTTTGTATTCCTGGTAGGTCGTTTTAGTTTTTTTTCTGTGATTCAATTAAATAAGACTTTACTAACTCCTAACATCTTAGCAATTCGCTCGCGCGTTCGTGCAAACACCAGTCTTACATCACGAGAGATTGTCCTTGGAGAAGGTATGTAATACTCGGGCCTCCCAGTCTTCATCAATGACTGAAAACCTCTATCTTTGACTATATCAAATGGTCGCAGGCTCTCCGCTACCCAACGGACCAATTCAGCCCTGCAAGATTGTCTGTTAGCTAATGTGCAGATGAAGCTCGAGGACCCACTTGGTTTCAGTACGAGTATGTTGCCTATGCGAGTACGTGACCTTTCCTTTTCCCTTACGCTCAAATGACGCCGTAATTGACCCGCTATGCAGGATACTCTTGACGATCTTGGTTCGCACTTCCTCCGCGTTTTTCGCCTCATCACAAGCCTGCAAAACCTCATCCCCCCAGCAAGACTTGACATGCTTTCACATGTTACCTGTCGAGCGAGCATCTTTCTTATCGAGGAACCGACGAATACGGACCTTGCATCCCTTCGCCATGCACTTGAACCCATGTGCACGACGTCCCTCGATGATCTCGATGGTGGGTGTGGGATCGAAAAAGGCATATATCGGTGAGTTCCACTCCTTCATCAATCGTTCTGTAGTGACTAATGGTAGTTTATACATAGAACTCGAACTTGGCCCCTCACCGAGCTCCTCCTTGGCAGTCTCTTCTTCATCACTGATCACAATTGCCTCGTCATTCAACACTTCGTCTTCATCTTCAGAGTGGACCGCTGCTCGTCGGCTCAGTGCTGGAAGGGCTTTACGCGGGGCTTGTTCAATGGTTTTGCCATGAGGCTCGGTTGATGCTGGGACATTATGAAGTGCTTCCTCGACACCGTTAGTGCCATGTTCCTGGGTTGACTTGGCCTTCTTTGGCTGTGTGTGTATTGTTCTGTTGCTACCATCAGTGTTCTTTCTTTTTTTGGATGTGATTTCGAGCCTCTCGTCCACTGCTGCCTTTGCTTTATCTGTAAGTTTGGTGATACGTTTAGTAGTGTTTTTGAGAATTGTTGAATGCATGGTAGCCTGTTAGTGTTGTTGGCTATCCTTCTGTTGATTGGTATCGTGCTTTAGGTTAAGGTTCGAACTTGGTACAGTATAGGAAATTACATAACATTTTGCTTACATACCCACCATAGGGGTACGGGTATGGGTACCCGCAGTGCATACCCACCATAGGGGTATGGGTATGGGTGTGGGTACCCAAAGTGCATACCCCCACCCACACCCACGAGATACCCACACCCACGACCCACGTGGGTTGCTGGTACCCCACCTGTTCATGGCAGGGTGATACTTAACCATTTCTAATAACACACAGTACCTTTTGTAAGTTCGTCTCTGAGCTACCAACGTGAAGCTTCATGAAGCTTAAGGTCCTCAACACAGGCACGATCCAAAGATCTGGATCTCCCCAAAGCAGCACTATCAACACAGGCACGATCCAAAGATCTGGATCTCCCCAAAGCAGCACTACCACCGGAAAAATCACCAAATTGGGATATTCCAATAATCTCACTATTCCCACATACCTCCCTGGCTCTACTTGCTTCACCACAGCCTTTCCTCTTGCACACTCTTGTATTTAAGTTGTAGCTAAGCATGTATGTACATAAAATGATACAATAGACCGCTTTTTCATTGTCTAAGAGCTTGTACAGTAGTCTACAGTGCTGACTACAATATGTGAATCCCAGGACTAAAACATATTCGCTTTTTTGCCCCTTTAGCAGGGGAGCTATTCTGACTGTAAATATCATATATTAGAGTGTTAATGAATATATTGCACCGCTTGTTTGAGCCTCTAAAGTGTCCTACATCAGTAGATATGTTAAATTCATACAAACCTCTCAAAAAACATAAACCAGTTCGCATTTTTTAGTGTTTAGGTATATAGACTGGTGAATATTATTTCTAACATCTATTCACTAGTATATACAATATATCAAGAGTATAGGTCAGTAGGATCAGCCCCTGGGGTTGTATGTATTTACATCCTCCTGGTGGTTCACCCCCTGAGAAAATTTTTCCTGCAGCTCCGGCCCTCCAGGATGGTATGTAGGCTGTTGCTATGAACATATAGAATATATTCATCATATAGATATACCAGAACAATGCCAGGATCCTTGTCTACAATCCAAAGTCACTTCCTGCCTACAATGTACCATATTTTCGCAATTTTGAGGTTTTTCACTACATTATCACTACATGAACTATACAAGCTATTTATATATCCCTTATGGTACATATATGAAGCCCTCCCAAGGCCATGATCAGGTAGAAATGTGTCAGAGTAATGATATCAAGGACATATCTCCTATTCTCACTGATAAGAATGCCCTGACATGAATATAGTGAAATTTTATGATCAGACTATCAAGGGGTACACAATATATACCAGGTAATACAGTCCTCGACTACCAGAAGGATCCATGAATAATTGACAGCAGGGGAATGCAATAGATAAGAAAAAGGCCGTGGGAAAGTCAAAAAGTCCAAACATCGAAAAAGTACTGTGCACCAACAGTCTATGCATGGGTGGTCAGACCATAATAATGCAACAAATTGAGACCACAACACTTCCACATCACCTTTTCCTTCACAACATATATTAGTATAGCATATTTAAGTAGTCTACAATGTATTCTACATATTTTTAATGAAATCTTCGCCCTAGACAGGGTTGAAATGTGACATTTATATGATTGTGGGGTTTGCCCCTATATCATTGATATCATTACTCTGACACATTTCTGCCTGATCATGGCCTTTGGAAGGCTTCATATATGTACCATGAGGGATATATAAACAGCTTGTATAGTTTATGTAGTGAGAATGTAGTGAAAAACCTCAAAATTGCGAAAATATGGTACATTGTAGGCAGGAAGTGACTTTGGATTGTAGACAAGGATCCTGGCATTGTTCTGGTATATCTATATGATGAATATATTCTATATGTTCATAGCAACAGCCTACATACCATCCTGGAGGGCCGGAGCTGCAGGAAAAATTTTCTCAGGGGGTGAACCACCAGGAGGATGTAAATACATACAACCCCAGGGGCTGATCCTACTGACCTATACTCTTGATATATTGTATATACTAGTGAATAGATGTTAGAAATAATATTCACCAGTCTATATACCTAAACACTAAAAAATGCGAACTGGTTTATGTTTTTTGAGAGGTTTGTATGAATTTAACATATCTACTGATGTAGGACACTTTAGAGGCTCAAACAAGCGGTGCAATATATTCATTAACACTCTAATATATGATATTTACAGTCAGAATAGCTCCCCTGCTAAAGGGGCAAAAAAGCGAATATGTTTTAGTCCTGGGATGCACATATTGTAGTCAGCACTGTAGACTACTGTACAAGCTCTTAGACAATGAAAAAAGCGGTCTATTGTATCATTTTATGTATGTACATGCCATTCTACTACTTATATACATGAGTGAGCAAGGGCAAAGCTCTGGTGAAGCAGTAGAGCCAGGGAGGTATGTGGGAATAGTGAGATTATTGGAATATCCCAATTTGGTGATTTTTCCGGTGGTAGTGCTATTCTTGGAACTTCTTGGAAGCCTGAGAATCACCAAGGGACTCAGAAGCCATTAAGCTTAATTGTGTAGGTCTGTGGACTACAAACAAACTTACAAAACCATCACATTTCTAATTAGCTATGGTTAAGCTTAATTTTAACAATATAGCCTGGGTACCCATGACATTGCCTAGTCGCGTACGAAAATGAAATAGACACGCATACATCTGCAAGCCCATTAGCAACGGAATTGAATGTCTTCAATGGTCCGAGTATTTTGGAAAATGTGTTGATCATATCAGGAACAGCTTGTAGGTTGTCAGACACTGAAGCAATATTTTGAACGATTTCTTGAATAGGGCTGATGCCTGTGACACCTGTTTGGGCATGCACGAGCTTTTCCATCACACACTTCATATCAGGCGGCGATTCGACCTGATGATGGGCCTTGGTACGTTATCGAAAGTGAGAAACAAGGCTGCTCGAACTCACCTTTGCAACATCTGCATTGGAGGACTGGTCAAAATTCGGTTCGGAAGTGGAAGCTATGGGTGATGAAGGATCCTATGGTAGTTAGATCACACACAGAACGTACCGAGAGTTGCACATACCTGGCTTGTCTGAGAGCGTAGAAGATCCTGTGCATTGAAAGTTGCAGTTGTAGAATCAAGGTTCGGAGACTGTCGAGCGCTTTGAGCAGAACGGTTGTTCGCCCTGCGGAGTAACTTAGGAACCAACCGCGAGAATCGTCCACGAGATGCATTACTTGAAGGCGAGAGAGAGGACTTCTGTAATCATCAGAAACAATATAGTTGTAAAAACGAAAGTGCATACATCATTAGCTGCCCTCCTGCCTCTCTCCTCTGCCAAATCACCGGCAGGTTCTGGACGACTTTTCTTCAGCCATTCCAAGGGTTTCTTCCGAGGGGGATCGTCTTCATTCATCGAGTAAGTTGGGAGGGCGTCTGAGTATGAGCCTTATGAGGTATCTTGGTGCGAACGGAGAGTTGATGCGGCACGCAAAAAGCTATCTGCCGCATGTCCGCAGTGTGCACCGGAGGATATTTACATCAGCGACTTCTACACGTGTTCGGAAGCGCCCATTATCGATTGGCTGTTGGGAACGTTATCGAAGACTGATATCGATGTGGATGTGGATTCATAGAAACCTGGATGAAAGTACTGGTGCAGCGATACTCACAAGTCGCATTCTCATGTGATGCCACTAGACGCCGCATTCCCTGCTCGCACGTACGTCACATCACGGCAATCCGAACCTGTGAGTTATTCGCTAAGAGACACAACCTAGACTACATGTCAATCGGAGTCGTGTACGAACAGTAAGTAATACATAGTACCTCGGCGTGGAACAACGCTGAGTTAATTGAAGTAAACTCGTCTGAAAAAGCAAAGCAATGTTTAGATCGCTCTGGGGCACGCTGAGAGCAAAAAAGGAAATTGCGGCATGTCGGCGGCACCGAAAATCGCTTGGGCGGGATTGCAACTGACAATCAGTCCCTTTAGTGGTTGCGACTGAAGTTCAAGGTGCGTTGATGTCCTAACTCACCCATCAATACCATTGTAGACCACGACAGAATTCCTAAAATTACCTGATGACTGAAACATCTGCGCCATGACCGACTCGTTCATCGCCGTGGCCAGCACTCAGCCGTGATGAGCCGGAAATAGTGTTGGAAAAGTTATCTTCGCCAAAGTAAGTTGTGGAAATCGTCCTTGAGGGACTACACAAAAACGTAGTGACGCAACAATGTACGGGGAGGTTTGCCCAGACCCGCTTCTCTATCAGATCTTCGGAACAGAACTAACTTAAATAAATAGGTGCAGCAACGAAATTTAGAACAAAAGAAATCCTCCCTGCTCCCCACATAGCACCTGACCAGCAGCACTCCACCAGTGGTAATCGCCTTGACCATTTCCCGTCCTACACGCTGCTGCCAGTCGATACATGCACGCGCTCTTGGAAAACAATTGAAGTCATGCCGTTTGCTGGGTCTGATTCGGCCTCGCGCTTGGCATAATATTCTCGAATGCTGAGGATCAAGCGTGGTCCCAGCACACACAGCTGCACGATCTCGAAAATTTCAAGGAAACCAAAATAAATCTGGGATCCCAAGGAATATGGGTTCTGTAGAAATGATGAACCGTTGCAAGCAGAGGTCAATAACAGAATGACATACCCCTGATAACGTTGGGGACAAGTCTCCGCCGATCGTGAAGCAAGAATCAAGAACAAAGCTAGGTGCAGAACTTCAGCGGAAGAAGAAAGCCACATTGGCATTGCGAGCTCACCTCACAAAGTAAACCACATGAGATGTTATCAATACTGTGAAGCCGTCCCCGATAATCCCTCCTGCCGACTGTCGTCTCAATTCACGGAAGTGTTTTACAGCAATCCATAGTGCGAGACATAGTGCGAGGACCTCCCATGTAGTATTGATTATCCAATTAATGGAAACCAAAAGTTGGAAATCTCCTGCGTAGTAGCACTCGTAGGTGCCAGAGAGAATGAGCTCCTCTGGTATTCATCAATAAGCCTGGTGCACGTAGTAAGTCTTTCATCCATAATCAAGCTTACCTGCTGACATATTCCTTGTATTTATTACGTTGACTACTACGTCGGTGACGTTGACAGCCAACAATATTACAACAAGAAATATCAGCACCTTTCTGGATTGTTGATACATGGCGTGTAACCGAGTGACAATGATGACTTGAGTGATGTTTCGGTCAAGACAATATCGCTGATGGATTGCAGCTGGGTAACTTACCGCCCAGTATTGATCGCACGACGACAGCCACCCAAAGTTGAGCGACGGATAAAATGAGGCCTGACAAATCCAGATGGTGATCAGCCTCGGAGGATCACACAATCAAAAGAAACTCACAGCTGTGGAAGTCATGATATTGCACCAGCTGGTCAAGAATCAGACTCACCCCTGCATTGGAGTGCAGTTGATTAAGATGGGAATGGAAAGCATTGGCTCAGAATACTCACTAAATCTGTCAGCGGTATTGTCGGAACAGCCCCTGTATGCTGCCGGTCAGAAGACAGCAACAATGAATATGAGGAGCCATACCTAGAGTCTGGATGCTTGTTGTGGGAGATTATTGATTAGTGCAGTGCCGATCGATTAGCATTCCAAACATACACAGCGTATGATATCCCAAGATAGCGGGCCTAGGATATCGTAAAGTCAGCCTGACTTGCCGACCACACTTACAACGCAAGCTACGTACACTCAGATACAGAGCGGTCATGAGTGACCAGCGTTGCCTCTAAAGAAAATTCGTTGCATTTTCATGTTGTTCTTATGACGTATGACTCTGCTCACCCAAATGAGTTCAACCTATGTAAACCATTCTGAGTGAGATAGATTGTACGACAATGGCATCAACCTACCTCTTGTCCGATAGTCAGGGCTGCAGAAACCATAAGAACGTGAGCCAATCTCGAAATGATCTTGCTCACTCCAATCGTATATGACCCCAGCAGAAGCGACAACTGCAAAACGTTAGATCGAGAGGCACCGTGATTGTCCGACTGGCTCTCTACAGACCATACAAATAGCTGGAAATACGCCAGATATTAATGTCCGGCCAGAAACTGGGATCATTTGAGACTAGAGTCGTATGAATCATAATGCTAGAGGATGGGTGTGAGGGAGCGGCGAAGTTGGTGGATGTATGAAGATGGTGTGAGTACTAGATATACCACCACCCAGCACTTTTATCACCGAAATGAGCATAGCGATATCCGTTCCTGCATTGAATGGCCGAAGGAAGTATTTTTGCATGAGGCCAAGTAGGCAGGGGAACGCAATTCAGAGTTCCTTGATTGAGGGGATGTTGGTTGTGAAGCTGCAAAAGAGTCTGAGTCTGACAAGATGGAATGTTTTTGTTTTTGAACGCCGTAAAGAATTTTTCTCGTCTTGGTGCCATTCTCCAGATAAATGCTTGCTACGGATATATCGATTCAGTTCCCACAGATATCAACGCATAATGTTTGTTCTGGTCCTTAGCATCACTCACCTTATGCGCACCTTCTGGCTATCTGCCTCGGCCCTCGGATCGTCGTGCCTATAATAATGATGTCACGATGTCACTGCACTGACATCAGGAAAAACCCGAAATCGTGAGAGCCATTCAAGTTGTGACCGGGTTAAAGGTTATACGAACCTATCATTATGCACTGCAATATCCAGAGAAAAGTCTAGCTAGAAGGAGCTAAGACGGGACGACAAGTGTTCGGAACCCTCATATGGCTGGTTGTGTGCACCTGTGGTAACGAGCGCTGTGGGAAGCGACACGATAGCAATGGCTTTCGCCTGATGATACAATAGTCAGTGGCATGCAGCGGTAGCCTTAATCCGAGAGAGTGGCACGACTCACGGCCTTCACAAGTTTGGAGTGACCATCGTATTCATCTTACCCAACTGTTGTCAAGTGTGCGTTTGTACACATAATCGGATTCAAGTCTGTTAATGACTTTGGAACCCAGGTTGGCCGCTGCGCGTCCCTTCCTCGTAATTGAGGGTCAGTTGTGTTGTTGCTTGACGAAGAGGTACCCGCGGTTACTGAAATAGCTGGTGTAGAGTTAGCCACTGAGTCCTTCTGTTCGTCGAATGATGCCCGAAGCTTTTCCATGAACTTGAAGGAGACTTTGCCGTTCTGATTTTGAAGAATAGCTTGATTGAATGATTGAACGATTGAACGATAGCTAAGCACTGAGCCTGAAACCCGAGTTTGCCGTATTTTTCAAATTGTACAAGCTCGTTTCATACAACAGTGCAACTTGAGCCCCAGCTGTGAACTCCGGACATGGCCTCCAAAACCGTTGAAATCGCGCGAAATGTCTACTGAAATAAATGCTTTTCACACGTGATGACATACACACGAACTTCGTTTTAGCACGTGTTTTGTCTGCAGCTGTCCCGTCATTATTATACTGACGAGTCTCGCATTCTGACATGCGCCTCAAGTGATACCGTGCTTTACACACTTGTTGAGGTTTGTCTAGCTCAGTCTAGAGTACACTTACTTTCGATCGATACATTACAGACACCCTCCGGATTGATGTCCCAAGTCCACAATGCGACTACGGAGATCTCGAGCACGACACCGCTACACGATGCGGAGAACTCGAGTCCAGCTGCTTATCTGGTCCGTCTGAAACTACAACTCGTACTTAAATAGGAGGAGTACTAACCACAATCCCATGCCAGGCTTCCCGCTTCTGAGCTATCTCAGCAGCACCCTTCTCATATCTCGCGTCTTCATCCTCACATGTACTGGTACCAATACCCTCAGCTGCATGCGCCTTCGTCATGTCCAAATATCACCGCTGTTGTGTCACGCGCCGAGTTCTCAATATCGACTTTGGAGGACTTGGGACCCCGACAGCCTATCAGCGGTTATACTATCTGAGTACCGCCTACCAAAGAGGAACGGGACTCGGGATGCGAATACGAAAAAAAGATAGGAGAATGGAGGCGAGATAGGTTATCCTGCCGTGGCGTGGTAAGGCTTACGAACCTACTCACATGTAACATTGCATGACATCTAGCCCACTTATGTTATGAATATGGGCATTACAGATACGACATAGGAAAGAACTGCCTTCAAGCAAAGTTGCGAGATGTTTCATGGAGAAGAAGAATGAAAAAGAGGACAGCAAGACGAAGATTGCTGCTACCGCTCTGCCCGTCAAGCAATTGTACGTGGACACAGAATGCAGGTAAGATGAGGAGTGGAGAGGTGATGCGATAGCAAGTATCGTTGCAGTGCATGATCTTGCCACGGAACTTCGACTGCGAACCCAATCTGCTATACATGTAACAACACCCAGCATGTAACTTGCTTGCACCAATAAATATTCACGTTGAAGGTCATTGACGAAGCAAAGCTATGAGATGCTCCACATAAAAAGGTACTGATGGAAAAGTGTACGGGGAGGTTCCTTCAGACCCACTTCTCTGTCAAATTTTCGGAACACAACCACCTTAAATAAACAAGTACAGCGATGAAATTTGTAACCAAAAGAAATCCTCCCGGCTTCCCACACAGTACCCTACCAATGGTAACCGCGCCTCGAGCATTTCCCGTCCTACACGCTGCTGCTAGTTGATATATGCACGCGCTCCCGGAAAGCAATCGAAGCCGTGCCTGTTGCTGCGTCGGAGTCGGCCGCGAGCTTGGTATGATATTCCCGAACGCTAAGGATCAGGCGTGGTCCCAGCACAAACGGCACTACCTGAAGTGAGCCATAATAAATCTGAGTTTCCAGGGAATATTGGTTCTGTAGGAATGATGAACCGTTGCATGCAGAGGTCAGCGACAGAATATCATACCTAATAGTAACGTTGGAGACAAGGCTCCGCCGATCGTGAAGCAAGAAACGGCAACAAAGATAAGAGGTGCTGGACTTCAGCAGAAGCGGGGAGCCATATTCAAATTGTACATGTACAGGTTCATTTCATATATGTTTGCTGGCGATGTTTTTGATGAGTGTCGGAGTGCCGGCAGCATTTTATTCAAGTCCTTTGACAAGATAGTCGCGTTGTGTTGGCACGCCGTCAGAAAAGTGAAAAGTGAGCAAGCAAATGCCTAAAACAGACAACTCACCTGCTGCTGATGATGGCATCAGTGTTTCAGGTGCCGTCGGGATGGAATATTACTTGCATAGCTTGCAATCTGCACGGCTTGAATCAAACGAGGTCGTTCTGTTACAAATAACAATTGTATTTTAGGGTCAATCTGTGCAGAACTATATCTGCCCTTGTTCAACTTGTGTATGTAGGTGGATATGAACTCACCCCGGAACTCCTACCGATGATCGATCAATCTCCAACTTTTCCACACATAACCTGCAAACAGACCTGTCTCATCTAAAGTCGTTTCTACATGCTTGGAGGCATTCTCAAGAAGTCAATCAAGACTGCAGAAGCTGTGTGGGGAGGTGGATTGTGATAGCGGATACTCGGCAGGTATACTGGTAGTCATTGGTGGTGAGGCATAATGTATTAAGGCATGCTGGTAGATGGCAGGATTGCAGTGTTGGTAGTCCGTGCGTGGGCTCGCTCCTATATGAACAAATATGATTTGCGGTTCAAAGTCGAACACAAATGGCGCTTGGAGTTCCTTTGGGCGTACTTGACGGGTATTGGTGGCGAGTGTCGTGTCTATATTCTATTGATCAGTCAACCAGTCCCGACACTGTGCGGCACCTAAGAATGACCCAGCCTCACTTGCTTTACTGTCATCGGAATAGCCACTCTATCGTTGTTCGACATCTTCTATTGTCTTGGATCATATCCAGAGGCGGCGATGCATGGAATCGCTGGCGGATCAGGTATGGAGAAGGTCGTTGGAAGAGTGCGGCGATTCTATGGTAGGATGGCTGTGGAATAAGGTGGTGAGGACGATTTTTGATGCTGTTGCAATGGGTGGGTAGAGACTGGTATAACTCGCGTTGAGCGTACCTTTGCATTAGCAGTGTCGATATCTCGCGAGCTGCATGATCCAACTACATCAATACCACAGAACCACACCGACACTCCAGACCTCTTGATAGACCGTCTCCATCGATATCTCTTCCACACACATGATCCACAAAGAGACTCGTCCCATATAAAGTCTTTCCGCATGTTCCGTGACTGAATGCAAGAGGTATTCATGGTGAAAGTCAGTAAGTGAAGTGCGAAAAGTAACTGGAACAGCACACTGAGGCATGATAGGGTATTTGTAAGAGATATTTGTGCTCAAATGCGCTTGGCATGGACACTTTGGATTCCATGGCCTGAGCGCTGTTCGCATTTTTTGTTGGCAAAGATGGCGGGTGCATATGTCACAATTAACGTTCAAACGTTCACCAGTAAGGACCTGTTGAGTACGTGGCCTGACCGAAGGCCTGGCTGAACTCGGTTTAAAATCAACATGAATCCAACGATATGATGAGGAATGAAGTCTGCCAGGCTAACAAGTACCTTTGTCACGGTAACCGACTCGGAATTTGCCGTTAGCATTCATTTACCATCATGATGCGGCCCGCTGAGCCTTGCGAAGTTCGAACCGCCTTGGAGGTCGCACTCGCGACATCCCAAAACCATGAAGCATAGAGCGATTAGTTGATTAGTGACAACCGTAGAATTTCAAATATAGAGGCAGAGGAAAGGGTGGAATGCTGGAGAAGAATACATGAGTGAGTGTTATAAGAGTCGAACTAGGGACAAAGTCTCAGCGTCTAAAGAGAACTGCTAGTCATTATTAATACCTAGGGACAAAGTCTAGAGACACATTATGGTGAGACTAAGCCAGCGTGAAGAACAAACGAAAACATACCTCAGCGTCTAAAGAGAACTGCTGAGGTACGACCAAACAATGGCGATGAACATATTAGGTGAATTACGTAAGGAGTCCTTGATGACAAAGAGAAAAGGAAATGAGAAAATAGAGGAGTATCGATGTTGAATACAACACGCCCCCTCAACGAGATACAAGTGACAGGCCAGTGCGATGTTGCACGAATATTGGACGCGGGAGGATCTTAGTAAAAATGTCGGAGGTGTTTTTGTGTGTGGAGAGCCATACTGGTAAGAATGTTCCTTCTTCGATGTGGCGACGAATGAAGTGATAACACAAGTCTATGTGTTTGGTTCGTATGTGATTAGCGGCTTCCTTCGAGAGTGCAATGGCCCCTGCGTTATCGGTGAATAGTCGAAGAGGAAGGGTGATAGGGATTTCAACACATTTGAAAAATGACTTTAACCAGAGTCCGTCCTGTATTGCGGCAGTCAACGCCATGTACTCAGCCTCAGTCGACGAAAGCGCGTGAGTGGTTTGTTTCTTTGCTGAGTGTGAAACCGGACCCCCGTTGAAGAATCATATGTAGCCAGAGACTGAAATCCGGTCTTCCGGGCACGAGGCCCAATCGGAATCGCTAAAACCATGGAGCATTGGATTGGTGCTGGTTCCCCCATAGTGGGTTCGCATGTGTAGGGTACCAGCGAGGTATCGTAGGACGTGCTTGGCAGCTGTGTAGTGACAGGGATCAGGAGATGCGTTATGCTGCGCGAGCCGCATGACAGTATGTGCAATGTCCGGTCTGGTGTACATGGCGAGGTACAGGAGTTCACCGACAATTTTCTGATATTCGGATTCGAGGTTGTCAACGTGAGGGTGGATGTCAGTGGGGCGTCCAAATGGGAAGTTGGGATCCATGGGGAGGGACACGTGATTGCACTCGGACATGCCATGCTCTTGTAGTAGGTAGATAATGTAATCTTCCTGGTGCATCCAGAGGTCGCGCGTCCGTCGGTCGCGAATGAATTGAATGCCGAGATACTCAGTGACAGGCCCCAGATCAGTGATCCCAAAACGTTCTGCGATCTTCGCTTTGGTTTCGTTAAGGAACTTGCGATTGTTCACCCCCGCTAAACCGTCGTCGACGTGCCATGCGATGATGCAAATGATGCACACCCCCTCGCTATTAACGTGGTCAAAGATGAACACTGCGTAGTCTGCCTCGCAACAGAGGAAGCCCAAGCTGGTGAGTACTGCCCGAAGTAGCTCATACCAGTCATAGGCCGCCTGTTTCAACCCGTATAGAGACGACAAGAGGTGCGCAATGAGACATTGACCATTCGGCCCAAGTCGTTCGAAGCCGGGAGGTTGGCGCATGTATACATCCTCCTGTAACTTGCCCCATAGAAAGGCCCTGCGCGCATCGAAGCAGTCGAGCTCCCAGTCGTTGGCTGTGGCATAGGCTGAGAGAATGCGGATGGAGGCTGATTTTGCAACAGGTGCAAATGTTTTTCCAAAGTCGACGCCAGGAATTTGGGAAAAGCCTTGAGCTACGAGCCTCGCTTTGAAGACAGGGCCGCCCTTAAGGTCCTCCTTAAACTCCAAGACCCAACGGCATCCTATCGCACGACGTTCCTCCGGTAGGTCGACGAGTTCGTACACATTCATTTCCGACATGAGGTTGATTTCTTTGTGCATGGCGGCTAACCAATGATCGGAGTCAGGCCGTCGCATGGCCTCATGGTACGTCGCAGGAGGGACTTTGAGATTGTAGCCAGCAGCAAGGGGGTTACGGCGCACGTCGCTGCGTACTGACAGGCAAGCCACTTCGACAGCGATCAGGTTTGCGATGACTTGGGGGAACCCTATCTCCTCATCATTGGGTACGATCGCGTCGGGATCAACGACGATGGGTGGTGGTGTGGACTCTTGTAAACTTGACCTTTGGCAGTAGGTAATGGTATACGTGAAGATCGTCGAGCTGGTGGGGGAGCGGGAGGTTGCGTTGGAGCGTTGGATGCAGGTTGGGTGGATGATGATGGTGAAGGGGTTAATGGTGCAGGAGCGTGCGTGACGGCCTCGTCGTTGTCGTTGTCGCTATCAGGGAATGGGTGGTTGGAAAAGCCGTCGTCAAAAATAATGTCCCTGGAGTTAAAGAAAGCACCTGTTACAACATCCCGACAACGCCACACCTTTACACCAGGGGGATAACCCACGAAAATAGCCTCCCTCAACCGTGGACCTAACTTCTCTTGAAGTTCGGATGGGATCCGCGCAAAGCAGCGTGCACCGAATACACGAAGGTGGGTGAGGGTGGGTTGAGTCTTGTTCAACATTTCATATGGGGTGCGTCTGGGTGGCAAAGCGCGTGATTCCGTCCTGTTAAACAAGTATGCTGCGGTAAGTGCAGCTTCACCCTAAAATGTGCATGGTAGTCGAGCGTGATCCAACATCGCATACATGCGTCCCTCTATGGTTCTCATCACCCGTTCAGCCTTTCCATTCTGTTGGTGCGCATACGGTGCGGAGCACTGCCGTTCGATGCCCGCAGATTCCAGTGCGTGCGTAAATGCGTCGTTGATGAACTCGCCCCCGTTGTCGGAACGAAACATTTTGACTCGAAGTCCTGATAGGTTCTCCCATTTAGCTTTAATAGTCGTCCAGGCTTGAAGCGCCTGATCTTTTGATGCGAGGAGTTGTAGATTCAGGACATGGGTGTGATCATCAAGGAATACAATGAAGTAGCGTTTGGAATGCGGAGTGAGAACGGGGATCGGTCCACAAACATCAGAGTGCATGAGATCGAGAAAGCGAGGTGCACGATCTGTTTCTGATGGATGGAAGGGAAGGTGAGGGTGCTTAGCCAAGATGCATGATTCGCACGTAGTGAGGGGAGCAGCGGAATCGAACGTGACACCTTTAGCAACTTTATCGAGTCGGGCGACAGCATTTCGTCCAACATGTCCGAGTCTCGCATGCCAGAGATCGAGGGTGAGCGGGACATGGGTGAAAGCTGTAAATTCCACGCCCTGAGGTGGTGGAAGAGTCGCCTCGGTGAAAGGAATGAATGTGATATCAACCGCGTACAGTTTGCCTGTGGCGGGAATGGCCCCGAGTTTGTCATTGTTGTACGCGAGTTCACACGCCATGTTCGATTTGAAGCTGACGTCCCATCCCTTGGAGTTCATGCTGGACACGGAGAGGAGATTGAGCATGGCATTTGGCGCATGCAAGCAGTTCGATAACTTCACGCACAGTCGTCGTTTGCCGATGGTAAGCCAACCCATGCACATCCCTCGTCCTGTTGTCTCAAGTATCCCATGGTTCGCAGTGTGTACTGGAACAGTCTCGGCCGTAGAGTATGTATGGAAAAAACGGCGGTCTTTGACAAGTGTGACTGTTGTGCCTGAGTCCAATATGGTAGCGAAGGGGAGTGAGATGGCGCACGAGACTTCATCGGGAAGTTGAGCGATGGATGCAAAAGAGACGTCTGTATAGAGACTTGAGAGGCTCTCTGCAGTCACTACTGCTGCGATGACAGGAGTTGAAGAAGGTGCTGCCACAGTGACTGCGGCAGTCTCCTTTTTCTTGTTCCGCATCCACGGAGCTTGACCCTCCATGCCTCCTCCCTTTCCATAGCAGTGCTCATGGTCGTGGTCTCCTTTATTACACCCGGGCATTGTACAGAAAATTCCCTGAGGATTGTACTTATGTTTGCGAAGCCCGGTGATGGTATTGATGCTCGAAGGATTACCCGCCATCGTCGTGACTGCATTGGCATATTCAGACCCTGGGCGTGCAGAATGAACCGCTTGTGCGTGCACGTGACGTGCGGCTTCAGCTGTAATGCGGTAGATGCAACTCTCGACGGTGAAGGTGGAAGGTTTGTCAGCAGTAGCCGTCATGACTTCATCATGCATGCGTTGTTTCAACATCGATCGGAACTGTTGCCAGATGGGTGTTTGGGGAAGTCCAATGAGTAGACTGTAGATTGCATCTGCATCACGTAGTGGAGCACCAGCGTCACGAAGTCGTTCACGAATCACTGCGTGTTGTCCAACATAACTGGTGGCATCCGCCGAGTCCTTCATCCGAAGGGCATCGAGTCGTTGACGAAGTTGATACTGACTGCTGGTGTCTGTGCGATTGAAATGTTCTGCGAGGATCTGCCAGGCTTTTCGAGCTGATACAGTGTGAGAATGAGATACAAGGGCACCAACGTGAGCACTAAGACGGCGTGTGATTAGGTCCTTAGCCTTGACGTCATTGATCAGCCATTCGCGCATCTTCTTCTTCTCATCGTCTGTGATGTTGTTTGGGTCTACAGCAGTAGGCATGAAGGATGGAATTCCGAGAAGGTCTGTAGGATCAGAGTTCGTGTTGACGTGACACCAAAGATCGTCACAGGCAAGTGAGTATTGAATCTTTGTCGACCATCCAACATAATTCTCTGAGCCCAGCAACTCGGGGATATGATCTAGTTTTCCCATAGCGATACCGCCGTGAGGGATCAGAAGAGATGTGATGAAGTACGTGAGCAGCGAGATAGCGCGAGTGGATTTTTTGTCCTAAGAGTTCGGTTTATGGCTCAATAAGAGCCAGGGCTCATAACCTATAAGAGTCGAACTAGGGACAAATTCTCAGCGTCTAAAGAGAACTGCTAGTCATTATTAATACCTAGGGACAAAGTCTAGAGACACATTATGGTGAGACTAAGCCAGCGTGAAGAACAAACGAAAACATACCTCAGCGTCTAAAGAGAACTGCTGAGGTACGCACCTGTACTTGACCAGATGATGCATAACCATGTCTGGTAAGAAATTGTATGGTTATGCATGGCTGTCTGTAGTCCTTGATGGGTGAGCCCTTATGCATAATGGATTCCCACCATGCATAATGCTGCTGGTGATGATCAGGTACACTTTGGGTATCCACTTTGTGCAAGACACATCCTATTTTGGTCACCACATCATGTTAGGCTCCACATTATTCCCACACATCACATGTTCGCATTTTTCAGCCCCACAGTGTGGGAATTACCCACCTGGGTAACACCATATATGGTACATATTAGTAACGATCATGACATACCATACCTGTTACTAAGTAGGGGCGAAATCTTATGCTGCAGCACTTCAGCAATAGCTGCAGCACTCAACAGTGACTTCGTAGAACTACAGAGGGATCGGTACCATAGATTATAGGGTAGATAGATAATAGGGTAGATATGATAAGATCTCATCTAATCTGGTCACATGCCTTTTAGACTCCGCAAAATCAACACCGCTTCGGCCAGGCAATTACGCCCGCAACGTCCGCACTATTTCCCACACTTCTATTCCCTTCACGCTCATCGTCGTGCACGATGAGCACCATATTTCACTCATTTTACTCGTTCTCTTCACACCTTTTGCGTCATCCATATCACCATTATGGCTGATGACGTCCACGGCACTCAACGGCACTCAACGGCACTCCCGCACCTCGCAAAGCTTCAGTGCTCAACGCTCAGCGCTCATGCCCATCCTCGTGCCCATCCTCGTGCCCATCCTCGCGTCCATCCTTGTGCCCATCCTCGCGCCCATCCTCGCGCCCATCCTCGCGTCCATCCTCGTGCTCAACCTCGTGCCCATCCTCTGTCATGCTACCTTGCCGCAAGCAGAACACGACGACCTCTTCGCAGGTTACAATGTCTCATAGTTGACTTGTCTTCTCGTGCCCAACCTCGCGCCCATCCCCTGTCATGCTACCTTGCTGCAAGCAGAACACGACAACCTCTTCGCAGGTTACAATGTCTCATAGTTGACTTGTCGTTCAAGATCCGCGCCAGTGATTCATACCAGTACCGCATCTCACCAGCACGGACCGCTCTTCAGACCTTCTTCGACAATGAACTTGTTTGGGCACTTGTCCGTTGTTCATAGCAAGTACTTTGCTATTCACCTTGCAGTATGTTGTGCTACATAGAATTTCTGACTCGCATCTCGCACTTTAAAAATGTATTTAACTAACAATCTACATTTTCATGTCTATCCGCTACTCTCGTCCGAATATCTATCCGATACTCTCATCCGAACTCGACTCGCTTGAGTCGATTATCACCTCGGCACTTTTTTTGGCAGTAGGCGCAGTTCTTTGCTTCCTTGGAATGTACACAACTTCGCCGCGTGCCTGGCGGGCTCGATTATCTGTCATGCGCTGTGAAAGCTCCTCCTCTGACAGAGACACCCATTTGCATTGATTAGACTGAAGAGCATCCAACAACGTCTGAACCTGATTCCTGCCACCAATCTTACTGGGATTCTGCACCGCTCCTGAAAGTGGCCAGTTAATGAGCGCAACACCGCAGTGTTCAACTATAGCACGTTCGTAATTCCTATAGTTCATTTTCATCTTGCGCAAGTCGTTCTTTTCGAGCAGAATAAATCCTGCAAGCCATTGATCAGCTATTAGATGTCAAAAGGTAGCAAAAACCTACCAAGTCCGTCTTGAATCAATTCACGGCACTCAGCGATGAGCTTATTGAGCGGGCGGGAGTTGTTGCTTATTACGTGTTCATCTGTATGCCTCCAGTCAAAAGACCCATCGAGAGATGCTGAAAAAATACGTACCGAGCTTGCCAACCACAAACGCTTCTAGCTTAAGGCCGAGATGTTGAGGTTCGACTCTGAGAATACTTGAAACAAACTTCTGTGCCTTCTCGGTGAAAAAGATTTTCGGCTCCGAGAGATCTTCGATCCCACCACGCACAGCAATATAGAAACCTTCCATACCCGTACGAGCACAGAGTGCTGTCCACTAGATGACGAGGGGCACATGCAGTGAGTGAAGGCATATTACAAGACTACACGCAGCACCTACCTCACGATCCATGGACGTGAATGCGGCATTCATGTCATGCCGAACGGCCTTTGGATTAGCACGTGCAGCACTGCTCTTTTCTTGACGAGCCTGGAGCACCTGGGCATTGTAAACGCGCTTCTCTGCCACTGTGAGCCGTCCGTAAGCACGCAAGAGACCAGCTTTATTCTCTGCAATGAAATTTGTCAGCTTAATGCGCTCCCCCTTCTCGAGGCCTAAGGTACAAGTCAGTTGATAATATCCTTAAGTTACATTAAAAAATAGTTACCGTCATTAGCATCCTGAAGCTTTGCTCTCACGAATGCATTCCATGCATTGACACGTCTATTCTGCATCAACATGCGACTCCGCAAAAATAGTTGACTCCTCGTCCACTTGAGTGAGCTATAGCAATAAATTAATAGCGACCCAAATATTACTTTTAAGTATAGCTCACCGGCCATGTTTTTGAGCTAAATCACAAGCTTCCCTCTCGTATGAGTCCTTTGCGACATCCAAGTCGTCTACCAACTCTTGTTGGCGGCGGCGGCATTCCACTTTCTGGGATTGTGTAAGGCGAGGACGAACACGCTGATTTTTTATGGTGGAATGTGGCGCCATGGCACAGAAATTTGAGACGCTGAATATCCCTGGAGACGGAGTGAGATTCACGATGCTTTTATACTCAGGTCTTAGCATGTAGAGTAATGTCAGCAGCGAGTATATTAAAAAAATTGATCACTACACGAGGCTGAGCTAGGTACCATGACCAAACAGAGTTAGTGGTGTCGCAATCTATAGAACACGGGCTTTAAACAAAAATCAGCATTGACTAAAAAAGCTCCGATATATATCACAACTCACCTGAAGAAAAATATTGACGGGTCGCACAAGTCATGACATTAATGAGAGAATCATGCCGATCTTCAGGAATGTTCTCCTTCACAAGAATAGCCCTCCAGCCCTGGGGACCATAACCCTCTGACTGATAGATGCAGCGCCATATTTCAGTCAATGCGGTGTGGTCAAAACGAATCCCCGAAAGAATGGTACTAATTTCATGACTAATGCGGTGGTAATCCGGGTGTTGACCAGGAGGTGGATCGGATGCCATAAGATAAATATGGTTCGTCACTGAAACGCCGTCCTGAACGGAGCGCAACGTGGTTTGCATCTGTACCGAATTGGCTGCGCGTCTGTTGTTGATGCGAGAGTTTGAGCGGCCAGTGACCTAGCATGATGAAAGGTACTGTTAGAAACTTGCATGAAAGCTTGTGGTTAGTGGGAACATGCCTTGGAGTTAGTAACAGCGGGGTCAGGCGCAGTGGAGACTTGACGGTCAGCTGCTAGGATGAAAGGAGGCGCCATTGGAAGAGGAGGGGAAATACCCAGACTCCGAGTGACCTTAATGCGTGATGTCGATGGAGAAGGACGAACGTCTGGACCAACAGCGGGGTCAGGCGCAGTGGAGACTTGACGGTCAGCTGCTAGGATGAAAGGAGGCGCCATTGGAAGAGGAGGGGAAATACCCAGACTCCGAGTGACCTTAATGCGTGATGTCGATGGAGAAGGACGAACGTCTGGACCAACAGCGGGGTCAGGCGCAGTGGAGACTTGACGGTCAGCTGCTAGGATGAAAGGAGGCGCCATTGGAAGAGGAGGGGATATACCCAGACTGCGAGTGACCTTAATGCGTGACGTCGATGGAGAAGGACGAACGTCCGGACCCTCCCTCTCAGTAACAGCGGGGTCAGGCGCAATGGAGACTTGTTGGTGACGGTCAGCTGCTAGGATGAATGGAGGCGCCATTGGAGGAGGAGGGGAAATACCCAGGCTCCGATTGACCTTAATGCGTGACGTCGATGGAGAAGGACAAACGTCCGGACCCTCCCTCTCAGCAATGCGCGGTGTCAAACACCTCGCTGTCACCTTCTCAACGCGCGGCGTCAAACGCCTCGCTGTCACAGCACTGCCCAGAATATCTCCTCCAGAAATATCACCCCCTGAAGATCCCTCGAGATTGAGCTGTTGTGATATTGGAGTGGACATGAAGTTTGGGTCGTCGAAAGTGAGATCGTTTGTTTCCAGAGTGCCTGTCGATGGGCTCCACGAAGACGGTGCACCGAGTAACGAAATTGTCGAGACTTCGCTGCTGTCATGAGATTGTGAAAACGACAAGACTTCACTAGTGTCGCGAGGTTGAGAATCAAGGAGACGATACCCTGTGCTTAGAGGATTGGGAAATAACAGCGAGTTAGATAGGAATGGAGGTGATCGCACTGTACGAGTGGCACATTTCGTATCGAACTTTGCAATTCCTACACGGACATCAGTATGCATATCGATGGTAATTGCTATCTTTGTTGCTACTTACTTTTCATCATTGCTCTGGGAAGTTTAACCTTATCCCAACTGAACCACCGCTGGCGAACGAGAGGTGCGACCTCCACAATGAAAATTTTGTGGATCTTTAGCAGACCATCTAACTCAGGCTCCTTGATTGGGGATGACGCCAACAGCGCGGTTGTGATCGTAGGCAGAGAGCAACCAACACCACGCAATTTATTGAATGTGAATGAAGCAGCAATCTTGAGCTCGAAGACATCTTTCTAGAGTAGATAGCGAGGTGTGGCCTTTAATAGTTGATTGATATAATGATTTAATTGAATACATACCGCTTCTCCTTGCAAATCAAGGTAGTCCAGACGAGATTCTCTTGGGGTGAATGAAGACATGTTGGATGCAGAGACTTGTGCAGGTTCAGAATGAAATAGAAAGACAATGAACGACTTGTGAACGTTTGAACAACGGCAGCGTTATTACGTCGTAACTCATAACTGATGATCTGATCACTAATGATGTAAGTTCAACAGTGCAACTTCAAGATTCTTGTGTCGTCTGCACCTACTGATTTTGGGAGCATCCTCGAACCAGAAGATGTCGATGTCGATAGACTTCAGCTCTATCCACGTCTATTCTTGCGCCATCTGCACCTACTGATTTTTGGAGCGTCCAACGGACTTCAGCTTCATTCACATCTATTCTTGCGCTGTCTGTACCTACTGATTTTTGTTCACATCTATTCTTGCGCCGTCTGTATCTACTGATTTTTGGAGCGTCCTCGAACCAGAAGATGTCGATGTCGACAGATTTCAGCTTCAACCGCTTCTATTCTTCTATACTATGCAAGAAACATGATATGTAAGTACCTAAGTAATGAGACGCGATACAAGTTCGCCTAATCGTGTCGTTTCCTCCCTCACCATATCTTCGTCGTCGTCGTCATCAACATCTCCCAGGGCGCTATCTAGACAGCTTCCATCCTCAAGTTCAATTGGATCGGGGGCCTGCGGTAGTGGTTCTCCAGTAAAATGAGGGAGTTGATAGATTTTGTGAAGGCGCTGGCGATGGATATTGTTGGTGCGGTGGTGCTTGGCATACACGTCCTTCAATTCGGCCACTAGGAGGGGATCTTTAGTCGCGAGTATGATAGCACTGCGAATCTTGTTGTCATCATGGTCAATCCAATGAGCGAGCCGTCGAATCTCCACATTAAGGCGCAATATTTCCTCATGTGCCCGCGTGACCTTGAAATATTTTGTGGCCATGTCTCGATTCTCAGGAACGGTCCAAGGTTTGGCGAGTACATCGTAGCGTGAGTACTTCAGAAGTGAAAATTCTCCAAGGGACGCATAACCAACAACTTCGGAATAGTCGAGCACTGGCCGAGGAGGATGTTGGATTGGGGCAAGTGCGTTGTACTTCTCCAATGCTGAGCGAATGGCTGCTGAACGGCGCGTGATGGCTTTGGAAATGTACTTGCGCATTTTATACCCTATGGGAATTAAACATTAGTGAACCCTGCCACCAAAAATTGTGCGCCTACCTGTACCGGCGAGATTGGCCTTTGACAGTTCAAACAGACGTTGTACAACCAAGCCTTCCAGTTCCTCCACCACGCGAACAAAGCGGCGTTCATGAAAGTACTTCAAAGCCGTCGTATACTCAGGACATTCAGGTGTCCAGCGCTGCCGAATATCATGCCGGCGCTCAAAATCGGCAACAACATTCAATTGTAATTCATATCTTCGAAGTGCGGCAGCATAATCAGCTTCAAATGCCTTCGAATGATGGCGTGTGGCAGCGTTGAGACCCGAGGTATGCGTAAAGTTGGTAGGCGTGTAAGTGAGGAATGGAATCGAAGTGACACTGCCGTACATCGCTCTAGGGGTGCCAGCATTAGAAAAATCCCACAAATTATGGCGCCAAAAACAAACTCTGCATGTTTCAACTTCTCGAGGTTCTCAACATAAGCAACGGCAATAGCGTCCGCCGTGGGCTCGGTGGCCACTTGGCCTAGGTATTCTGATTCCTCGTCTCGCCATTTGAGAAAGTCTGCGTCGACAAGATCCTTGCGTTGCTTGAATTCCTCAATCTCAACAGAGTAACGCTCGATGATTTGCAGGGCTTGAACATAGTTGTTATAAAGAAAGCGACCTAAAAACGTTAAGCAAGATGTAACGTAGCCATACTGATTCGTACTTAGCTCGAGGTACTTGTCCGTGTCTCACTTTTCGAAGTGAAGATCAAGGAATTGTACCCAGTGAAAGTGTGAAGCGTGCCGTATCAACGGCGCAGTACTGTTCGAGCTTGCGAAGATGCGCTCGCATGTTTCTAAATCTTCAATGCCAAGGCCAGCCAAATACAAAGGATGGTTTTCAAGTTGACAGCGACGATTGTGGGAAAATCCATGGAATGCGTTGACGACAAGTTGTAGACGTAGCTCCTCGGCTTTGCATCCAATCGAGCTAGCAGCAATAGTTTTCCTTGACGAGCACGCGATGTCATGACCGATCGCTTGGTCATTTCCGCATACATCAAGCACTTTATTGACGGCAGCAAGTCCATATTTTGCACTGTTAATAATAAATTGAAGGAAGAAGATAAATCCACAAAATATTAACGTACAGCTCGCCACTGTGCGCCATCTCTGTGACACATTCAATGAACCCATGACGGCAGGCGACAAGAAAGATGCCCGTCTGATCAAATACCACAATCTTATTTTCTTCAACGGCTTTGGCAGCGGTCCAGTTCTCGGTGCACGATACAGTTGTTTGAGGTGCAGAACGATTATTACGCACATCATCCTTGAAGTGCTCGACATCGGCCTGAGGGATGAAGTAACGACTGCGGAATATACGTGGGTCAGACGTTCCTGAGCCATCCAGTCGTTTTGCAGAGAAATTCCCATCCATGCAGTGAAGGCGGTGTGGTATTAATATTGGCTCATTTGGTTGCTTCACATTATGCCGTCAGTAACGATATCAGAGACATACACACTGTTGAGACTTACCTCAAATGTACAGCATGGGCACGCGCCAGACATGGGCCAATTCTCGTGGTCCCTGTCAAGTGACTGATCAATGCGCAGGCGTACACACCGTAGAATATTCAAGTAGACATCAAACGCTATTGAAAATTGTTCGCGCAGTTGTTGAAAATAAGTCACCTGCCAGTGCGTTGTGTGAATGAATGATTAATATAATAAAGGATAAACGTACATTGTGTAAGGTGCATAAGACTTTCGTAAACGCTTGAATGCTAAACAATGATTGGAATCGTCGGATCTGGCGGTAAAGTTCCAAACATTGTAACCGAATAGCGACGGTAGGCTGAAGCGGAGAGCATCCGAGAAGTCCTATACGCAGAAGGGATGAGTTGGCAGGCTCGTCAACATGTTGCTGGATGGCAATAGAAGGTGTATATTCTAGAAAGCTAATTAGTACTAGGAAGATTGTAACATGCATCCATCCTGCACTTACCTGAAATGCCGACTGCGGTAACATGAAATATAGAATGAGGTGCAGGGTCGTTTGGATTCTCTCGTAAATGAGAGTGCTTCCAAGCAAGGTAATTGTCAACAAGCGCAGGAAGCTGCTCTTGCCAGGCAGCATGAGCCCGTTGATGACGCTGTGTTCAAGATCGTATATCATGGCGTCCATGAATATTAGGGTCTCTGTAGAGAATGTGAATGATGAGTTAACAATAGAAAAACATGAAGGCTTACCGCTGTCGTGCGCATCTCCTGAGAAATTCTGATACCAAAGGACCACCTGACTCCACCTCGTTGTTGTAGTCTTCATCGTCATCATTGAACGTCGTATCTCCAAAGTCCATAGGCTCGGAAAAGTCAGGACCTGCCTCCAACTGAGCCTCGGCAACAAGCTCTCGCATGCGTTGGATATTTTCTGTTGAGATAGGTAAATTTTAAAGGCAACTAGAACTACCAAAACATACCTCGTGTTTCTTGACGTTGCCTTGCCTCTCTTGATAGCCGCTCCTGGCGAATTTTTGTGAGAGATGCAGTACTGGTGTGAATCTTCAATGATGAGTCGACTAGAGACATTGTAACCCGTGAGGAGGTTGACATGTTCTGCTTGCGGCGGCCCATGATGGTGGTAAAAAGGACAAGTGAGGAAGAGATTAAGCTACACACCTATATATCACGCCACATGTCAGTTCACACGAGGTAGCATGGCAGAGGATGGGCACAAGGATGGGCGCGAGGATGGGCACAAGGATGGACGCGAGGATGGGCACGAGGATGGGCACGAGGATGGGCATGAGCGCTGAGCGTTGAGCACTGAAGCTTTGCGAGGTGCGGGAGTGCCGTTGAGTGCCGTTGAGTGCCGTGGACGTCATCAGCCATAATGGTGATATGGATGACGCAAAAGGTGTGAAGAGAACGAGTAAAATGAGTGAAATATGGTGCTCATCGTGCACGACGATGAGCGTGAAGGGAATAGAAGTGTGGGAAATAGTGCGGACGTTGCGGGCGTAATTGCCTGGCCGAAGCGGTGTTGATTTTGCGGAGTCTAAAAGGCATGTGACCAGATTAGATGAGATCTTATCATATCTACCCTATTATCTATCTACCCTATAATCTATGGTACCGATCCCTCTGTAGTTCTACGAAGTCACTGTTGAGTGCTGCAGCTATTGCTGAAGTGCTGCAGCATAAGATTTCGCCCCTACTTAGTAACAGGTATGGTATGTCATGATCGTTACTAATATGTACCATATATGGTGTTACCCAGGTGGAATTACCCCACAACACCAAAAACATCGCCCATTTTGGGAATCTCCACAATATCAATTATTCCCACACCCTCCCCACCTCACTGCAGCTTCACCACTACACCACAATAGGTCCTCCCTTGTATTTAAGTAGTAGTTTGGTATATACATGTATAATATTATATAATAGACCGCTTTTTTTGTCTATTTGTGTGCCTGCTCCTCCTCCAGGGCCTTTTCAAAATAGGGTAGGGTACAGAACATTTTCGCACTTTTGCCCCTTTGATAGGGGTGTGTTCTATTATATTCAGAACATGTTTATGAGCATATATGAGTAGATTCCCATCTTTATTTGACCCTCTGAAGTGTCCTACATCAATAGATATAGCACATATGCAATAAAACACAGAATATGCTCCCATTTAATTATTTCTAGGTGAACAGACTTGTAAAAATGATTACCAACATCTATTCAACAATAGGAACAATGTATCAGGAGCCCAGGACCATAGGATAATCCCCTGTTGCATGGTGTGCCCCCCCTCTCCTGGTGGTTTGCCCCCTGTGAAAATTTTCCCTGTAGGACCGGACCTCAATTGAGGTAGGGGGTCTATTTTTATGTATATATTTAGTAGTTCTATCATATAGCTGACCCAGGACACACATAGGATCCTGCTACAGGAACAAAAACATAGAAAATCGCATTTTTGACACTTTTGATGTTTTTCAGTATCTTACACTTGCACAACTGACCAGGCCTGCTCATACATGATCAGTAGTACATTCACAAATATGTTTTATGCCAAGGATCAGCCCTATCTCATGTACAGGGGGTATTTCTACTGATAAGGAGCCTACATAGTGTTCAAGCCTGTGATAAGTGATCTAAAACCTGGGATATGTCCCATATATGCCCCTGATGATAGATTTAAAGTTTTAGAAAGATCCATTAAGGACTGACTGAATGGCAAGTAAAATCACATATGTGTGAAAAGTGACAATTGACATCTTTTCACACAAAGTTACATTTATATATGATACAGCTCAAACATTTCATTGAAAATATGTAGGATACAAGGTAGACTACTGAATGAACCTATACTACATACTGCCCTGAGGTTGAAGGGTGGTGGAAGGGATGTGGTGTATATCTGAGTTGACCTAGCATTACAGCCTTGTGCGAAACTAATGGCAGTGGCTAAATTTTCGCCACTTCCTCGACCAAAAAGGAAATCGATATAGCAAACGCGTCCTGGACGCTCAGGCTTGTAGTAGGCTTCTTGTACACATTGTTCAGGTGCTTTTTAGCTCTTACTACTACCCTTACCATGTATCATACCAACCTGTTTACCATGGCAAAAAGACCGAAACAATCCGCAGTCAAGCAAAAGCACACAATCAAGATTCCAGCAAGACCATGCAACATGGCAGCTGCGCCCATTGACGAGAGCGCTGACAATGAGCCACTGGAGTTTTCGAGTCCAGAATCACCTGCACCCGGGCCCTCTACGATTGGTGATGGAGACAGGGTCGGGCAGCTATCTAAGGCTGACTGGTTGGATGAAAAGCTGTTAGAAGATGGCGAGGAAGAACTCAATCAGTTGGAGGCTGAGCCCAGGCCTGAAGAAGACCACGACAGTGATCAGTCCATAGAATTCGCTGACATGGAATCCGTTGTTTCAGGTACTATATTGAAGCTCACCTTTTCTCGCAATCACTGAAAATCATGTCACTCACAGCCTCAGGTCCTGCATTTACGTTTGTCAACGTGGATTCAGCATCGTTCAGCAGTTCTCATAAGCGGAAGCGGGACTCGTCTGACCTTGCCTTAGCTGCCGCTGAACGTTCGTCGGGGCCATCCGCGAACAAATACAAAGACAATAAATTTGTACCGCAGGGCCGCCTCACTGATGAAGCCATCGATCGGATGCTGACTGGCAAGAAAAAGAAATTGTCTGCCAAAGGAAAGTCAACGAAGCCCAGTGTCACAGTGAGCGAGACCAGTGAAGATGAAGAGAGCAACGCACCACGAAGGTTTACTGTATATGTCCAAGTGTGGTGCGAGACTGCGCTGGTTGAAAAAAAATCAGCCAAGGGTGCCAAAGTATCAATTACAATTGTTTCTTGCGGCCCATTCAAAATGGATACGAGCCGCACCTTCCAATCATTCAAACACGACATTGCGAAGGTCTTGCCCTGCCGACTCACGATGCTCCCCGTCGCCAAGTTCGAATGGAAGTTCGAAAACCAGGCCCAGAGTGCTCCGTGCAAGAAGATAGCGGACGAAGCAGGTTATGACGCACTACTCGATGCTGTCAAGGCGAAGCGAGCCGCCGAAAACATAGTTGTGTGGTTATTCACCCCGAAACCTGCTAAAGACGAACAAGTGAGCATGCACGATATTTTGACTTCTTTAGGCTAACATAACACAAGGATTGGGATATGGGTGACCCAGATTATGTTGAGCGTCCATTCAACTTTGATGAAGAAGCTGGTGCTGCATCACGCACTACGAAGTCATTGATTGTATGTAACATTTTTTTACAGTGAATTTTGCTCTCAACTCTGACAAACACTCTGAAGGATGATATGTCTTCCAAACGAAGGAAGGCCGAGGCTGAACTTCATTCGCTATATCCAGTTGGTAGATACCTGCTTTTTCCCGACATGCGTGTTTGGCATGATGAGAGGATGAACACCTATTTCGAGTTGACTGAGATGCGAGTGAAGGTCTGGGCAAATTCCATTGTAGGTTTCTTATTTTTCATCAGCGCATGAAGCTAAATAAAACACAACGTTTTAGGCAGCAGGAAGAGCTGACACGTCGGCTCCTCCTACAACAAACCACTTCACTCAAAAGCTGAAGGTGCCACGTCCCCCTCCGGATGCCCCAATTTCGACATTTGGTGAATTCTATCATCATCGTCAACGGGAACAAACCCTCGCCAGCGAGGGTGCCGGCCAGGAACCAGTACCTCCTCAGCCTACCCATGGTCATGTTATTCCTCCTTGTATGCCTCCGCATCCACATGGACCATATGGTCCTCCGTTTCCAGGCCCGTCTCATATCCCTGGTCCTTCGCATCAATTTTTTCATCCATCCCAGTATATGCAACCACCATACGTCAGCGGATACCCATACCCGCTACCTTATTATCCAGCTGTGCAAGGTCATGGACAACCCCAAGTAATTGTACAACCTACTGGCGAGGTACCCTCCGCGTCGTCGTCTCCCAGTTTGACAACTTCCCACGGCATATCTCTGTCTGAGTTTTGTGCCAATTATCGTATTTCCGACAACGATCAATCGAAGCTCGCAAGACTTGAATACCAGCCAGGAAATCAAGCAGTTGAGTCACTCGATGACAAGGAATGGCGGGATGTGGGTCAATTTACGAAGCTCGGCCGGCAGGCCTTTCTTGATGCGCACAAGAAATTTTGCAAAGCGATAAAGTCAGGCACATGGGTAAAATAATTTTACATTTCTTGCGTCACTTGCAGACTTCTTGAACGTTCAAACAGCATTCATTCGCACCTAGTTTTCTCGCATAAAACATTCAAACCTGTACAATTACGAGCATTCTTGATCACCCTCTTGCAGACTTGGACATTTCAATTCGCAGCCAGTTTTATCACATAAAAACATTTGAACTTGTACAACTACGAGACTTTGATCACATGACAATGTACCCTGCATTCTTGAACCACCCGTATGCTTTCTCTGCTGTAATGCAACATGTTGCTTCGAGAAGGGCCTCGACCGGATCTTCAAGATGGCGCAACTGATGGCCGTGACGTCGAAGATAAGCTTTGACTGTCAAGTGTGATGTATCAGACACGGAGATAACATGATTTTTCATAACTTACAGGTACTGAATGACTCCTCGATTGGTGTCAAATCAGGCGAGTATGGAGGCAGGTAGAGTATCAAACAACCTATCCAAAGTTAGTCTCACAAAGGGAGAAACAGCGACAAAAACAAACCGGCACTTTCAACAAGGTCAACAAGGTCTTCACTATGATGGATCCTGCAGTTATCGAGAACGATAATGGAACGTTCTCCCGGGAAGGGACTCATGTGGGGAAGCTAGACAAAAAGTCGTGTGCTTGACTCAGCTCAACAGACGCAGAAATGAGACATGTTTACCACATCTTCAGCAATGAAGTCGTAGAATTCCCGTGAATTGAGAGAACCTTCAACCACGTGAGCTGCAATGTAGCCTTGCACAGTCATAGCGGCACACAACGAGTACCGATCCGATCCCCTTGAACAAAGACATCTGTGAGTTGTGCGCGATGTCCCCTTGGTGCTCGTCCATAGTGCCGCGCATATGTCCGGTCATTCTTGCTGGTTTCGTCGATGACGACAAATTCTGAGCCATCTCCGATGAAATCGTTTCGAAGACTTGCTTTGAATTCCTCTCGTCGGGCCTCGTCACGCTCGGAAGCAAGTTTTCGAAGGATCTTGCATGTGAGACCAGCTTCTTTGAGGTTGCGCGATAGGGTAGAGGTACTGACAACGATATCATGGCTGACTGCAAGCCAAGTGCAAACCTCGTCAAGGAAAAGATCGGAGTACACAGTGAACAGATCTTCAATGGCCATTAGCAGGGCTCGCGTGATTGTTCAAGTCCGTCCCGTGAGTGGAGAAGGGGGCTTTGTTGCAGTACCACACTCCTCAAAGATCCGTCGCCAGCGGTAGCAACTCCTCTCGCTGACACCAAATGCTTCACAGATGTCTGCCAATTCCCACCCATGATTCCACAGCCGAAGTGCGCAGTCTTTGAGATTGTTGCTGATCCTTCGGTTAACCATAGCATTTATGTGACAGGGCAAGCTAGCTGGTGTCGCCAATGTCGTCTAAAAAGTCTACAAATGCCTGTGAGCGTCCAGGACGCGTTTGCTATATCGATTTCCTTTTTGGTCGAGAAAGTGGCAAAAATTTAGCCACTGCCATTAGTTTCGCACAAGGCTGTAAAGTCCAACTACTGCCCAACTGACCATTTTCGATGTTTTGGGTCTTTGAACTTTCCCACACTCAATTTCTTATCTATTTCACTTCCTCAGAACTCAATTCTTGTTGGATCTTTCTGTACCATCAGGCCTATGATACTGAATATAGTTTAAATCTACTCCAGGAGTCTGATTATTACATTTCGATGTATTGAAAGTATGGGCTCCTTATCAGTAGAAATAGCAAGCATTCACACTAACTCAAACTCCTGGCCTATTTTGAGCTGATCCTTGTGACAAAAAGCAAATATATATACTATAATAATGATATATGAACAGGTTGTATTACTTATGCAAGAGTAAGATACTGAAAAACATCAAAAGTGTCAAAAATGCGATTTTCTATGTTTTTGTTCCTGTAGCAGGATCCTATGTGTGTCCTGGGTCAGCTATATGATAGAACTACTAAATATATACATAAAAATAGACCCCCTACCTCAATTGAGGTCCGGTCCTACAGGGAAAATTTTCACAGGGGGCAAACCACCAGGAGAGGGGGGGCACACCATGCAACAGGGGATTATCCTATGGTCCTGGGCTCCTGATACATTGTTCCTATTGTTGAATAGATGTTGGTAATCATTTTTACAAGTCTGTTCACCTAGAAATAATTAAATGGGAGCATATTCTGTGTTTTATTGCATATGTGCTATATCTATTGATGTAGGACACTTCAGAGGGTCAAATAAAGATGGGAATCTACTCATATATGCTCATAAACATGTTCTGAATATAATAGAACACACCCCTATCAAAGGGGCAAAAGTGCGAAAATGTTCTGTACCCTACCCTATTTTGAAAAGGCCCTGGAGGAGGAGCAGGCACACAAATAGACAAAAAAAGCGGTCTATTATATAATATTATACATGTATATACCAAACTACTACTTAAATACAAGGGAGGACCTATTGTGGTGTAGTGGTGAAGCTGCAGTGAGGTGGGGAGGGTGTGGGAATAATTGATATTGTGGAGATTCCCAAAATGGGCGATGTTTTTGGTGTTGTGGGGTAATTCCCACACTGTGGGGCTGAAAAATGCGAACATGTGATGTGTGGGAATAATGTGGAGCCTAACATGATGTGGTGACCAAAATAGGATGTGTCTTGCACAAAGTGGATACCCAAAGTGTACCTGATCATCACCAGCAGCATTATGCATGGTGGGAATCCATTATGCATAAGGGCTCACCCATCAAGGACTACAGACAGCCATGCATAACCATACAATTTCTTACCAGACATGGTTATGCATAATTTGGACAGTATAGCCTGAGGTACGACCAAACAATGGTGATGAACATATTAGGTGAATTACGTAAGGAGTCCTTGATGACAAAGAGAAAAGGAAATGTGAAAATAGAGGAGTATCGATGTTGAATACAACAAGTGTGCGTTGTTTAGATCCATACCGCTAACCGCTGGCAGGTGCATAGTCAACGCCACTCAACAAACTTGGTAAAATTCTTGCACCGATACACTTGGTACCGCTACGAGACCTTGCAGCATGGCTTCAAGAAAGGGACGGGGTCGGAACTGCTACTTCTTGTGTATGAATAAGGGGTATCATATAAACACCAGATTGTATGCGCGACAGAAAGTCCTTGCAATCACAGACTACATAAATTAGACATGAGCTGGGTTGGTCCTTGTACGTGTGTTCCGGTACCACACGTGAAGCCAGTGGACCCCAGCGTGAGCACAATCTGTCAATACGGACCTCGTGACCAATTGTCACGAGTTCCAAATACAAACCATTATTCTTTCCTTTCGACTATCAACATTAAGCGCCCGTTTCCAGCGTTAACTCCTAAATGCCCGACATATGCCCCAACCCTTAACCCTAAACCTATTGCTACTATAACCGAAATCCCAACTCCAGACTTAGACGCCCTTACATCACGTGACTCTCCTAGAACCTTCCAGAACTTCACAGAAGCAGCATCACTTCTCATGACGTCATAGTTCCTTTTCACATTATCACATCGTACGATTCCGTTTCTTATTTTATGATTGGCAAAGTAGTTAGAACTCAGTTTGTATCTCCTCTCGAATAGTTGTATAAAGTTAGGATGTTCTAGTCAGTAGTTCTTTAGTTCAAACCTTTCGTCTCTACATTGTGTAGCAGCCCAAACGTACCTGCTCAACCTCATCTCTTTTATCGTGATATCCTTTGTTTGAGTCCTAGTCTCTGCCCTAGCATTAAGTTGTTTAAGGGGTTGTAACACCAATAGGACCATTATAGTGATTAAAATTGGAACAGCAATCAAGTAGATCACCATAGAAGTGTTCCAGAGCAACACCACAGTAAACAATGTCATTCTGTCGAACAATGAGCCACCGACCCATGGAATGTAGCCAGAAACGCACCCCCAACTCAAAAATCCCAATGGCAGACTAAGCATAAGGGCAAGGCCCTCAAGGCCTAGCACAGAATGTGGTATTTCTTGCATGTAATAGGCCTGTGGACGTAAATAATACAGTCAAACCGTTATAAAACAAGAAGCTTACCACTTCTTCAGTGGTGCCTCGTAGACTGTCATTGATTTGTCCAACGAAGAATAGTGTGGATGTTAATGAGCCAATGGTAAAGATGGTAGACAGATATGTTAAACCGATCACGAGCGACTGGTCTGCGACAGATGGAACCGTGAGAAAGCTGATATTAACAGCAAGCATCACAGTAGACTGGGACATTATCGGTCGCATGACGATACGAAGCAAAAGTACAACTCACAAATAACGCATATTCGTTCCATTCAGTGGTGAGCCTATCGCGAAATTTGCTCCACCGCGGCCAGATGATATCTTCATCAACCCATATCCTATTAAAACTTCGCTTGTGAGCATGAGGCACACCGAACAGAAACACATTCATGACGCAAATCATGACGCGAAAAATGAACAGTCGTGGCTGGTTGTCAGATTTTCCATACAACGATTGGTTTATGTTAAGTCGGGCGCCTGGTTGTCCACAAAAATTCTTAAACTTGGCATTGCCTAGCAAAGTTATCGGGAAACGGCATTGCAGACCACAAGCTGGAGCTCACATAACATTTTCATCAACATAGGTGAAATCGACAAGCATGTCAGAAACACTCAACCGATTATCCGTGATTGTCTCACCTGCAATCCATGCAGAGTGCTCACATTCCTTATTAGCACTGTCTAAAAAAATCAACAACAACAACAACCCACACCAGGGAATGATTCACTCATGAGAGAATCAATAAGCCCGACCAGGCTAGTAACCTGGTCCACAGTGAAAGGTACTAGGGGTGTTTCCAAAAGGATATAGTCTACCGCAAGTCAATCTCATACGGCGTGAAACGCTTATTGGTCTTTACACACCTGCTTGAGCATGCATGACAAGTTCTTTGAGCTCCACGACAACATCTTCCGGAAGGAGGTGTTTGTTCGGGAATAGCTGGATGTGATTCCTGCCAACGTCATGATATGTGAATCACGGGACTGCGCAAAAAAAATCTGGATCAAGGTGTGAGTACATTTACTTCGATCAAATGAGAGAACATACGTACTTATGGTAGTCATACACACCAGTATTGTGAATATAATGCATACTCTGGGAGCGACACAATTCCAGGAGCTCGAAAGGAAAGTATTCCACTGAAAAAAAACTTACTGATGTGGCTCTTGCGCTCTACACCTCTAACTTCATTCATAAGGGAACGAGATTTGTGGTCTTCGGACCAGAAAATGACACGTCTTTCGTGGTCAGCAAAGTAGTAGCCCCACGATTCTCTGACATTCTTCCTCACAAGCTCCAACGCGAGCTCAACGGATGGATGCAAGAAGATGTCTGCATTGCGCGCTTCTTCGTATGCCTTTTCAACAGCTTTGCCTAATTTGACAGCAATTTCAGGATCTCAAACATTGGCATCAGTGAAAACTCTCTGGTGTGTAATTTGAGTAAAGACACATAGGAGCTGACGGTAGACGCACTTTATATGGGTGATAGAAGAACAAAGACCCTTCTGGGTGCGTGAGCGGCTCCCATCCTTCTACTGCAGCAAGCTCCCTACGGGCTCATTTTAATTTCATCACTGGCTCTCTCACCAACATGCTTACTCTGAACAGTCCAAAGGACCTTTCTCAACCAAGAATACCTCAAACTCATTTTTACTGTAAGTAATGGTTAGAACAGCAACTCACTCGAAATAAAATTTGCGTACACTCACACATTCTTCCTGTGTGGTTTGACCTGGTTTGGTACCATGGGAGTTAAAGTGATCTCAAACGTCTGTCCCGGCGCCGCGAGAAGCAGTGGTGTGGTTGTTGGAATGCGCAAGCACGCTCGCAGCCGAGGTGTAATGTCATTGCCCTTATTGTTTTCGTTTCGACATGTATGTTCCTGATATGCGCTCTTGTTCTGTCATATTTCTTTTGTCGTTTGTCTCACTTACTTATACGTTCAAACAAGAGCATTCGCGATTATATAGTTTACGCAGTTTTCACGTTAGAACCTCAGACATTTGCATTCATGCAACGACTGAGGTAAGGAACTCTTTTCGACTTGTATATTGACCTTACTAAATGCTACATACAGTATCTGTTCCTTACAGGTAAATATACCAAAAGACGTTTGCATTCACGCAACGACTGAGTATCTGTTCCTTACAGATCCGCGTGAATATTATTGTGTCATTCTTACAGGTTATGAGCCCACAGCTTTGAAGAACCTCAGAACGACCGTCTCACCTTTGATCAAATATTGCTTGCCACGATGGCCAAGGGTACAAATTGGGCCATTTTCTCGTTGCATTTTCAAGTCGCTGTCGAGGCCAAAGAGCTATGGAAGCACTTCGACAGGTCTTGCCCCCGTCCTCCATCGCCCATAACCACTGCAGAAACCACTGCTGTTGAGAAATGGCAAAAGAACGAGAACCTCGCGAAGCACCTACTCATGCAACGGATCCCCGACTCCACAGCTCTCCGCATTCGTGCCCTCGCAAACGTTGCGACAATGTGGGCTGAGATCGTTCGTGAGTATACAGAGAAAGGCGCGTATGCGCAAACAGATTTGCGCACCAAGTTTCTCGAATTGAAGTGTCCTGCTGGGCACGACGTGCGTCAGTTTCTGGACGACCTACGCGCGAAACGAGACGAACTGTCAGCAGTTGGCGTCGACATCGAAGAGAAAGACTATCGCTCTACCATCATTCAGTCCCTCCCCAACCATCTCGTGATCTTCGCGTCTGGGCAACTCGCAACTGCCAGACTCTACAGCACCACCAAGACAATCGACCCCGATATCCTCATATCCCTCATCATAGAGGAAAACCCTCGCGAACCACAAGGTCCAGTGGTGCTGACCAGGCCTTGGGAGTAACGGATCATGCCGCTAGAGGACGGGGGTGGTGGACGTTTCAGGGGACGTGGTTCGTCCTCTAACAGGCAAGGGAGGCCGCGTCCTCCGTGCTGGAATTGCGGATCGCGAGAACACTTTAAGGCAGCCTGCCCCAAGCCAGATAAATCAGCAGGACATTGCGCTGACACAACAAAAGGATCTGCTCACGCAGCAGCTGACGATGATGACGAAGACGATGGCGTATTCGTCGTTGAGCACGCCACAGACTGTGACTCTGTGTGCTCACTCCCTGCCCTTTTGTCCATAGAGACCTCCGACGATGACGCAAACGAACGACTAAATCATGTCGTTAGCGACGAGGATTGGTTTTCGGAGGTAGGAGAGGATGACTTACCCTCTTTTGACGATTGGGAGAGCCAGCCAGCATCTCCTATCAGTGGAAGCGTCACAGGCGCGATCGACAACATCGGTGAACCTCGCGGGGAGGAAGAATTTGCTGCCAAAGTCAGCACTGGGTGCGAGAACGGTACCGTCGTCGAACTCTACGATCCTGGCACCACGCGCCACATCTCACCATACCGAGAACATTTCGAGACCATGTCCCCCATCCCACCCAAACCGTTCGTTGCTGCTAACAAACAGCGCTTCAATGCTACAGGCATCGGTGAACTCGTCATCGAAGTTCCTAACGGGGTAGACGTCTCAAAGCTGCGGCTTACAGAGGTTCTTTACTCACCTGAGGTAGGGTACACCCTCGTGTCGATTGGCTGTTTGGACGACCTCGGATACTCCACTACCTTTGCGGATGGCACCTGTACCATCCACGATGCCTCTGAGAATGTCATTGGCACCATTCCCAAGGACGCTCGAGGGCTCTACCGTGTCGACCACGGACAAGACAGTGCGCACGCAGCAGATGAGACCATTACGGTCATGGAGCTACATCGGCGTATGGGTCACATAGCACCCAGCACCGCCAGGCGTCTAGCAGAACACGGCCTTGTAACCGGCATCAAGGTGGATATGACGTCGGGTGAACCAACCTTTTGCGAGTCGTGCGTCTACGCAAAGGCGACCCGCAAGCCTGTGGCGAAAGTGCGTGAGGGAGAACGTGCAGCTGAGTTTGGAGGGGAAGTACACTCCGACCTATGGGGCCCATCGCCTGTTCCTACCTTAGGAGGACGTCGTTATTACATCAGTTTCACCGACAACAAGACTCGACTCACCTATTTGCACCTCCTGAAGCAGAAGCACGAAGCTTTCCAGGCGTACAAGGATTTTGAGAGTTGGTGCAGCACCCAACAGAACGCTCGCATCAAGACCTTGCACTCTGATCGCGGTGGTGAATACCTAGGTAAAGAGTTCAGCACGCATCTCAAGGCCGCCGGTACTACGCACAAGCTTACCGTACATGACACTCCTCAACATAACGGAGTGGCCGAGCGATTGAACTGTACCTTACTTGAGAAGGTACGGGCCATGCTACACGAGAGTGGACTCCCTCGCTTCCTATGGGGCGAAGCTGTACGTCACGCCGTATGGTTGAAGAATAGGACACCTACCAAAGCTTTGGACGGTGCCACACCTCTTGAAGCAGCCACCGGGAGAAAGCCAGACTTGCGCAACGTTTGGCCATGGGGCTCTAGAGTTTGGGTGCGTACTGAGGGCGGAACCAAGCTTGGGGGGCATGTTGAGGAAGGACGATGGCTAGGGATAGATGACGCGAGTAGGAATGGACACAGGGTATATTGGCCCTCCAAACGGTCAGTGGCTGTTGAAAGGAATGTCTATTGGGACCCCACGGAGGTCACGACGACACCTCGCGAGGGGGAGGAAGAAGATCAGAGCCCAAACGCGATGATATCGTCGCCATCTTACTCACCTCCTGACCCTACCCCACCAGCCACCATCCCAAGAACTCCAACTGCCATTCCCCACTCCAAGATCCCCATCCCATCAGCTTCGCCGATCCTCGATATAGTCGCCAAGAGAGCTCGAAACCAAGTCGACGAGTCCTGGACATAATCGATGGAAGTGGTCCTGTCCCAAAAGGAGTTCAGCTCCCTACACCAGAAACCACAGCCGAAGAAAGGACTCACTTTGTTGGAGAGGAAGCAGCAGAACAACTCATGGCCATCCTGGAAGAAGAAGACGACGTCGCAGAACTCTCACTAGCGCTTGTTGAATTCACCGCAGAAGCTGAAGCGCTTGAACCCACTAGTCTTGCTGAGGCTAAACGACGTCCAGATTGGCCTTTGTGGGAAGGAGGAATTAGAGAAGAACTCACCACCCTTGCAACAGCCGGAACTTGGGAGTTAGTAGACCCTCCTGCTGGCGCCAACATAGTAGGGTTGAAATGGGTGTTTAGGGCCAAGAAAGATGTGGCCGGCAATATTGTTCGTCACAAGGCATGCCTCGTCGCCCAGGGGTTCTCGCAAGTCCCTGGAGTCGATTATTTCGATACTTACGCACCAGTTGCCAAACTGGCATCCATCCGAACCGTTCTAGCGTTGGCTGCACGATTAGACTTGGAGATACACCAGATCGATATCAAAGGTGCTTACCTAAACGGTGAGCTAACTGGAGATGAAGTCATTTACATGCGACAGCCACCGGGTTTTGCCTCACCGGAATTTCCCCATCGTGTTTGCCTTTTGTGTAAAACTCTATACAGCCTCAAACAAAGCGGCAGACGCTGGTACCAGAAGTTAGTGGAAATCCTCGTGGAGAAGTTAGGGTTCACGCAGTGTGAGGTGGATCAAGCTGTTTTCTTCAAGAAGCCGAAGACTGGTGAGCGCATCATCATCGTTGTCCACGTTGACGATTGTACTCTCGCTGCATCATCTCTGGACCTTATCGCCCAGTTGAAGAACGACATCCGTGCCCACGTCGAGATCACTGATCTAGGCGAGCTGCACTGGCTCCTTGGGATAGAATTAACCAGGAATCGCGACCACCGTACCATCTCCCTTTCCCAGCTATCCTATATCGACTCTATCGTTCGTCGTTTCGGCCTTGAGGACCTCAAACCAGTGTCCTGTCCAATGGAACCGCACATCAAGTTGCACTCAGACCAATCACCATCGACTGGAGCAGAGTACGCCGCTATGCGGCACATACCATATAGAGAAGCAGTAGGATCTCTCATGTACACATCCCTTGGGACTCGCCCCGACATCTCATACGCGGTAACGACCGTATCCTGTTTTTCCCAAAACCCTGGACAATCTCATTGGGACGCCGTTCGCCGTATCTACAGGTACTTGGTTGGAACCAAGGATTTACGCCTAACGTATGGAGGAGTAGAGAGCATGCTCACTGGTTTTGCCAATGCAGATGGAAGTATGGCGGAAGACCGCTGCGCAGTCTCTGGATACACCTTCTTGATAGATGGCGGCGCTGTATCTTGGTCGTCGAAACGTCAAGAGATTGTTTCGCTTTCAACAACTGAAAGCGAGTATGTGGCCGCTACTCACGCTGCAAAGGAAGCCTTATGGCTACGCTCACTCATTGGAGACCTTTTCGACCCCATCACTGAACCAACTACCCTCTTCTCTGACAATCAGTCTGCTATTGCCCTTACAAAGGATCACCAATACCACGCACGCACCAAGCACATCGACGTGTGCTTTCATTTCATTCGCTGGGTAATCGAGGACGGGAAACTACGCTTAATCTTCTGTCCTATGGGAGACATGATAGCTGATACCCTTACGAAGGCTCTCCCCTCTCCCAAAGTTAAACACTTCGCCTCCCAACTCGGACTACGCGCGGCTTGAGGGGGAGTGTTGGAATACGCAAGCACGCTCGCAGCCGAGGTGTAACGTCATCGCCCTTATTGTTTTCGTTTCGACATGTATGTTCCTGATATGCGCTCTTGTTCTGTCATATTTCTTTTGTCGTTTGTC